CTGAAATAACATTACTCTTTTAGATACCTTTCAGGTCAAAATACCGGTATTGCACAGAAGCAGTTGGTTAAGACATTTGTGAGAACAAATACTATATCACGGTCAGTGGTACTTATGGCACTATAGTTTCGTGTTGTTGACTTACTTGTCCCACCAATACTGGTGAAAGCCCCAATAAATATTGAGAATAAAAACACCAAGTACCATAGGTAGATTGAAGTTGACTTTGCTGCCGTATACCATGTATTACTAGAGTTGCTGCACGTGTCACGCTTGGAGAAATACCATCGAAGCAACCACAGAAGTTGGAGGATCAGTTGCGATATGCCGTAGGCAAACACGATAAGGGAACGGCAGCCAAATCCAGGCCGAGGAGTAGTATAGCTTGAACATAGTTAGTAAGAAACTATAGAAGATATATCCAAAGATAATACCTGACTAATACGCTGAAGAACGTCGGCACGAAGTAAAGGGTAAATCCATAAAAAGCTGAGGTCCAGAGATCCTTTTTGAAGTTTCTGTCTAGTACTTCTTCCCTCATTCCCCGAAGATATGGATATTCGTCACCGAGTTTCGCGATCCACATAGCCTTATTAGATCCCCTATTCCACATCCACGCTGGCTTGAATCTGGACTCCTTGTAAGCTAACTCAAAAGTGCTGTTCACCAATCTAGATACAATTGATCTAGTATATCTAATCGACCTTGGATCTTCCGATGTAAACTCTGCGCTATGAATATTTCGGAACCACATCAGGATCAGACTCTAAATCGGTGTCCACCAATCTCATGGAATCTATAGGGGTAAAGGGGTCGGAAATGAGTAGGGATTCAGCGACAGCATTTTGCCATATTCGGGTTGTTCCCAGCAAGGAGAAGGCAGCTAACAAGGGCGACATGGGGTATCGTCATCCAGAACATTCCAGCAGCTAATTGGTGCGCCGTGACACTTATTGTTAGATGTTAGTATTTTGAAGATAAAGCCATACCTAGGGCTTTTAACGAAGTACCGTTTAGCAACTTACTAGGAACCTAGTTCTTCGCGAACTTCATATACCGACCAGATAAACGATGCAATATAAAAAAGAACTGGCGCACCGACTGAAGTACCAAAGCTGATTTGGGAGTCTAACATAGCTAATAACCGCCATTTGGTAGCAATAATATTCCGGCGCTGCTGAACACTATACGATGACTTCTTAAACCTTCCTATCGTAGCGATTTTGGTTGGCGTATTCGAAGGACTGGCATCATGGGAGTGGCTTGGCGTAATTAAGTCTAATGGGCGTGGAACTTCTATCCTTGATTGGATATTTGTTTTCATAGGTTGGGCACCGGGCCTTCTTCGAAAGACGCCTCCTGGAATATTGTGTACAAATAAGCTACTCGAGTGCCAGGCTTGAATATCAAGGTTCCCTATTAAGATTGAAAGGAGAGTATGAGCTTTCTCCTTAGCGGAAAGAGAGTTTTCTTTACTTCGACTTTCTAGATACGACAAGACTCGGGCATCAAGAAGGGCCTCATAAATACCAGACGTCATCATGGGACTGGCCACTGAGAACACGACGCATGTCCAAATAATAATGTCTAGTGTAACAATAAATGAAGCGAGAGGGATTTTAAGAATAAACAAAGGGAGACTCGATATATCGATAGATCCACCAGAGAATAAACTAGTCGGCAGGTCAAGGCGGCGACGACGAGGAACGTTAAGGCAAAAAATGAGCGACGGTAGTATGAAAGCGATCAGGGGTTTCAACCATTTTCCGAGATCGCTCGCCTTTGTAACAGGCCATCCGGGGCAATGGTTGTAACACCACGAATAAGGCATCCAGAATTGTTGATGAGGCGCCGATAAAGTTCCATTGTATTTTGCACCGCAAGGAAACCTAGGGAACTCTTCAAGATCATTTATCGTGCCGGAGAAAAATGTTTGTCCAGGCCGAATATAGAGCGTATCGTTTTCGATAACGAGGCTTTCGTTAACAACTAAGTTGCAACACATCCCCCAGTCCTGTCCCCCAAGGGCAGGATTGAATATTGCAGGGTCTTGTCTGAGGCTCGATAAGTAGGGTTGATAGATAGGAACGAGGTCGGTTGACGAGTTGCGAATGCTTAGTTGGCCGTTGGCCAAATGTAAATACTGGATGGATAGCCATAATATGTTATAAAGTAAATACATCGTATAATAATGCATAGTTACAACTACTACTGCTCCATGAGAAGATGTCGACAGCAGAGTAAATCGAAGATAAATGCTAATTAACGGAGGAATAGTAGATGACCATATACCTCCTAACAAATATGAGGCCTCATGATACTAACTACAGAATTGCTTGGCGCGCTAGTTTATTAAAGTGCAAGAAAAGATTAAAGGGAGAGTGAAATAATTAATTCACTCTCCGGGCGAAGACTAAGTAATTTGAACTAAACTGAGTTGACGTGTGCTTAAAGTGTCAACCCTCTCAGCTGGATGGCGCTGGGGCGTCCCCTTTGGCCGGGGTCGGCGGAGAGCATCACGCGAAGGCCATCAGGATTGACAAGTAAATCTATAAGCGAACAAGCCACCAGGGGAGCCAAGAGATCGCAATGAGTGTCGCACAGCCACGATAAAACTAATCGGACTGGATTGGGACACCGACTTGAATCGGGGAACGAGGGGCGACTAATTCATGGAGCCCGACGAGCTTCGTTATAAGCGCCTGATCATATCACTCGAGATCCAATTGGATCTTACTCAAGTACACGTCGCTGCATCGTCCTGGCGCCACACAACCTTTACGGAGAGGCCATAGATATTTTTACAAGGGCACGATTCTGTCGTCTTCATGATTATTACTTGAATATCCAGCTAATGACACTGCCATCTATTAGTAGTAGTATGTATACTTGACTACTGACAGGTAAGGCTATCGGGTCTTGGCTCAAAAACAACGCAATTCATCGCGCGGAATACGTCATGTGCGGCTGAACAAGCTTGATATCCGAGGAGCAAGGTCGGAATTAACTGCTGTATGTTAGCTTATGAGACAGGAAAATATATTAGATGTAACAACAAGATATTCTTAACAGCTGGAAGGTCAAGATCAATAACCTTCAAGTAGTAATATCTTCCATGTTGTACTTTTGGTTCATTAACCCATCAAATACCAAGCTATAGAACATTGGGAGATATATATTCGTTATCAAGTCATGCGGCCTATATTAACATCCTAGCGGTACCTTTGAAGCTACTCATCGGAAGAGCACTTGCCAACTTACCTATATACTTATATACCTTACGTACCTAGGTAAGTATGTAGTGGTGTGGTACATACATAGAACAAAATGGGGTGCATGGCTTCTTCGGATGGCCAGGGCTAGACCAGGCCTGTAAGCACTTTGTTAAATTACTGCAGCCCTATTCCTAACTCCGATCCTTCTCTCCTACAAGTCAGTCAGACGCTTCTCTAAACACCCATTCTAATTACGTAGACCATTTGAAATCACCAAACGTATTATGTTCATCAATAGCTAGGCTGAAGGCACTGCGTTATGCATATACGTCTTTACCTCTCATCTATCCTGGTGTAGTTAAAATAGATTCGACGTTATTGTGGGATGTATAGCATAATAATTGTAATGGAGCAGAAGATAGGCGTTGTGAATAGCAAAGATTGAAACTTATTGTCTGAGACGTAGTCTACTGTTAATTCGGATTGACTGGGACTATGTATACTGTGAAGAGTCTTAGTTCAAACATACGAGAAGAGAGTTAAGCCAATCAGTCTTTTCCTTATTACTTTACTATAGTTATCTCTCTAAAGATTTGCAAGTATGATTCTAATACTTATCGCATATGATACAAATGACGATGAAAGAAGTGAATACCTTTAGGTAGAACCAATAGACTTCAGAACTTACCGAGGGGTAAGGAAACGGATGCATCGCGGGGCTTGTAACGAGTACAACGGGCATAACTATGCCATTAAAACTACGGCGCCGCCCGTTCAACTACCTAAATCTCTATTTAAAACTATTTAAAATGTATATAAAAATGACCTCTATTAAATGTTTAATGACTTAAAGCATGGTTTATCTATGTTGACCAACACGATTAAGATCTCTTGAAGCGTCACGGTTGACACGGCGAACGATGTATACAGTATAGATTAAATTCAGATACTGTATTAACACGAAGCCGAGGGATCAACAAACAATACGCGAACCGCCTGACCGCCAGCTTTGGGGGCGGAACCCCAGGTATTCCATAACATTTAACGTTTATACTTTCAACCATCGGAAATTTACTTTGGGGCAACTATAGCTTAAACAACATCGATACGTATTACCGTAGCAATAAGAAATTTTGAAAATCAACTAGTTACTATTAATTATACCCTTAACTATCCTACGCTGGCAAAGAGCTCCGGCAAATATTCAGTTACTTCTCTATTGACGATCTTATTTTAGGTGCCTAGTACCTACATACATATACCTACCTAAAACTCGTATTGCATTGCATACTGTATACCTTTACATCCAATTATCTCTGGTAACTTCTTGATTCACTTTAGTTGAAACGCCTAGCTTCTGCTGTGCATACGTCAATATCGATAGTTTAAGCCATGATAGACACAACTTAAGCTGTTGATGGCAGCTCCTTAAATCGATGCAACCTAGGTACAAACCGAGGTAGCCTTTCAGCTGCTAGAGCTGTGTTTAGTTAACGAATCATCCGTGTTACCCCGGAATTCATCTTCTTGACCATCCTATTAAAACCCAGAATCTTTAATTGTGAATCGTGGGTAGTCAATCACCCTGGTTACGCCGACGTCATGTTAGTATGGCCCCATACGTCAATCGGTGTCGCCTCAGGGTCCCCGCATCACGAATTCGGATCACGACGGGAAGGACAACTATTTTGAATTTAAGATATATTTAGGAGTTGTCGCCTATCCTACAACCTTTTATCTTTAATTTTCTATAACTACACCTTAACCGAACAGAAACATATCATCATGTATACGAAATTCATCTTCACCACCCTTGCCTTGGCAAGCAGCCTAGCATCCGCAACCTATGCCCCGGAACCCATTAAGGCGGCGGAACGCGACGTTAAACCGCGCCAAACATTAAATCCTGGAGGCCCCGTTGAGTCTCTAAGCTCCGCAGCCGACCAGGGCACAACCGGCGTCCTGTCTATTCAAACCGACACATCCATTTTACTCTCCATTCAGACCGATACTTCTATTTCTCCCACTATTCAAACAGATACGGCAATCAGTAGCATCACCAGTGTCGTCTCCCCTACGACTTCAGGATCCGATACTCAATCGCCCACAGCAGATACTTCTGGCGCATCTTCATCTGAGGCGTCTTCAGTTTCCACATCTAGCTCTGATGCGGGAGCAGCATACCCACAAGAAACAGGTTTCGCATTAGCAGCGGCGGCGGCAGCGGGGCTTGTTGGTGTTGTAGCCGCATTATAATGAAGATAGACTATCGTATACCACACTGCAGACTGCGGACTTACCTTACATGTTTATTGTTATTCAGATTCAATATGATCATCAAAAGTAAATGATCTAAGATAGGTAAAACTCCAATGGGTATAGTGGGATCCGGGGAATCAATATGTATTACCACCAGATAGCTTACAAAAAAAAAAAAAAAAAAAACCCTTTTATATTTCCGACTTAATTAAAATACAAGTCAGCGAGTTCGATGAGACAGTTAATAACCTGACTTGGGTAGACATATTTTATCAGAGATCTATCCGATTCAAATCGAAATTATTTTTACTTGAGTAACAAACAGGTAAAAGTGAGGCTATACATATATACCTTTGAGTGATGGGCAGTAGTGAATTTGGGGTAGGAAATTCGTGTGGCTAGGTGTGGCTTTATAAGGGCTCCCAGGTTAGATTCTTGACATGAATTTGGTGCTAATAGCGTAGCATAACCAGAGTGGCTATGCTATCCTCACGATATTGGATATGCATCTCTTAGGCAGAATCGCGTACCTTAATCTCATAACGTAGGTACCTCATACACATTTTACACTAATTTCTCAACCGAATCAAAAGGTAAAAATAGTATCTTATATGAACTTTATGAAATTATTATAAAGATTGATAAAGTTATTTAAGAACAAAGTATTAAAGACAAAGATTTAAAGTGAGTTGTGTGTTTTTAACGGCATTTTGTTAGGTAGGTACCTACCTACCTAAGGTAAATTTTATATACTTCCAGGTTATCTCCACTATTACTTCACTTGGGGGCAGTAATCAGTCGTCAATTGGGTAAACCGATCCGTCAACCTACTATACATAAACCCAAGTGTCATTAACGCCGTCCATCGCCACAATATCTGCATGCTCCATAACCAAGCATACCTAATACTCGATATTTTCTCCCACATCTCCCATTCTATCATATGAAACTAAAGGCAGTCATTATTGAAATAGCATCACTATCTTCTTTCTTCACCATCTACTCTCAATATGTTCCGCTGGCACCGTCCGACATGTCGGAGACCTGATATATGCATGGTTGATAATGTGCTTTTCTGCTCAAGCTGTGACTCGGCAGTAGAGCTATCAACCTTCCAGATGCCCTGTCTTTCCCCTCCATCTAGTTGTCAAAAGAAACCCCCAGAGTTTCTAGACCTCCGGTGGCCATTGTCAGTTCAATATTCCACGGTCAGGAAAAATGGTAACAATGTCCCGGAATACCAAGCCACAGCCAAAGATTTAAGATTAAACTATACTAGTATACCAAAGTCAAGTCAGTTGTACCATGGAGAGAATGGGTCTGCTATTAGGTCCCATTCCGATGGAAATTTATATCCTTCTTTGGCTCAGAAATACGACATTCGACTTCTCAAGCTTTCTGCCTTGTCCTCGCATGATTATCTCCACGGCTACTTGGATGTTGCCGATTTGACTAATCCTCACTCATTTGAGGCACTATCATACTGTTGGGCAGGAGAAACCAACAACAATGATAAAGCAAAGTCAATATTCATAGGAACGTTCTGGGACATAGTTCCCATCACTAGGAATTGCGACTCAGCCTTACGACTTCTACTTTCTAAGGGGCATTTAAATCTTTGGGTTGACTCTATTTGTATCAACCAGGAAAATCCGTACGAACGGTCGCATCAAGTCTCAATAATGCGTGATATTTACTCCAAAGCTTCCCAAGTACTTGTGTATATGGGACCTGCTGCAGATGACAGCGACGATGCAATGGTTGCATTAAATATGCTTTCTCAGGCAGTAGAACCCGATCTAAGCAGTTCTCAAAAGCTTGGTCTAGAGCATATTTTCAAAAGACGGTACTTCTCCCGCGTCTGGGTCATTCAAGAGATTATTATGGCTCGAAAGGTTACTCTCTACTGCGGAGATAAGAGCATTTCTTGGACGTCATTTAGCGACCTTCAGGTACCCTACCGTTATATTCACAACGTACCTTGGCTTTTGGAATACAGTAAAGGAAATAACAAAAGAATGAGCGACCTAGACGATCTTTTGCGACTCTTAGATGCCACTTCAAGTTGCCAAGCCTCTGACCCTAGAGATAATGTGTTCGCCATGCTTGGCCTCCTACGCAATAGTATTTCCGAGGGGTTGGGTCCAGACTACCTCTTATCAAAGGAAGAGGTTTACATTGGTATTGCATCATATCTTATTCTCCGCCATGGTAAGACCGAGATCTTGTTTTATCCAAAGCAACATCCGCCGAGCTCGCTTCCTACATGGGTTCCAGATTGGTCTATTTACCGTCCAGCAAAGATACCATTAGAATACAGTGAGGATAACATGGTTTACGGCGTATCTCCAACCGACGTTGCTACTAGATTAGAACAGTTAGCAATAGCAGACCAGGACGAGTCTAATCTTTGCAATGAATACTACGACCATTTTAAAGTCGAATATTCTCATAGTCTTTCTAGTATGGGAAACGAAACTCAAAACATCGTATGGCTTTCCGGCAGCCAAACTACCTGGACGCTATTTACGACTACTCCTGAGAAGTCCCTTCGTATTCGACACTTCTCAAAATCATTAACGAAATGCAATACTGCAAAACACAACCCTGAAAGGATAACCGGCGCTTTACCGAGTGTCAATGCGCACACAGGAGCCTTAAGCATACAAAGCCGCATCGTCATAAATCTCGAGTCATTCTACCAAGTTAATCCCTACGAATTTATTCAAAAGATTTCTTATCCAGGTCTCGAGTGTGACTTCGAGTGGTTAATCAGAACAACAATCCCCGCAACTGCGGAACTTGACGTCGTGGTGTATGTCCAGGGCTGCAGTTCATATCTACACCTACGAAGAAGCTCAACTTACGACAACTATAGTCTGATCGGCACATGTCATGTAGGCTTTCGCCAAGGCGTTGTAAAATTTACCAAGTTGAATTTACCGGCGAAACTTCATGCTCTTACACTTTCCAAGCCCGTCGACATAGAAATTTTTCGTCAAGAACGTAACACCAACTACCTCCATACATCCTATGGGTTTGACCAGTCATTTATTGAATTTTTGGTCGATCTTGCTGAAAGTAGACTCGGGGTGCATATAATATCCCATTTCAGATCTCGAGACGCAAGTTTCAGTAACTTGAAAACAACAGTACTTAACAAAGACTCCAAAGATAGAATTGAGATATCAGCCTTCTGGAAAACCAATTCGGGATGGGAGGCCACCACAACTAGAGACTGGGATGGCGAATATATTAAAGGCGTATGTGTTATAATGGTAGAACAACTTGAATTCTGGTCCCGGTATACCACTTGGAAGGCTCTTGATTCGATCGGGACCTGTATAGATTCGATGAACGAGTTGAGCCAAATGTGGTCTGACTGGAATAAAGTGGCAAAAGTTCTTGCGGCTATTGAAAAGGGGTCATTGACGAAGAATGTAAATGACAACCCCGATAGGGCAGACTTAATTGATTGCCACGAATATGCCCATGGCATAGAACCTCAGACAGCTACAAGACTCGGCTTTTCAGATTCTTGCGCATCCCTCTCGTCATTAGTGTCTACCCTAACAAAGTTGGGAATAGAGATAATGCATCAAGTAGACCTGGAGCAGGAACTCTTTAGCTGCCATGCTCCCGGGATAGATTACGAGGAAGAATATGGGAAGCTAAGCTCAACCGAGCGTGTTCAATTAGGGAGGTTATACACCCATTCCATAAGGAACTCGGCTGAAACATCGAAACGTTCCCTTCACGACCCTCTAATAACCCTGGGGACCGAAACCTTCTACAACATAGTTAAATCCAGAATTGCCGTTCTTAATTGGATAAAACCGAGCTGGGAGGCGCTTCAACCGCGCCTTGTGGAGTTCCGACAAGTATGTGTACACATCACAGCCATGGACACATTTCAAGAAGGCATAAGCGAACTTCAAAATATTGTGATTGTGTGAACTATTTGACTACATACTTAGGAGGTAGTCAATTCACCAATTCAGTATATCATAAACTAATAACCCCCTTTCAAGATTAGTGGTCTTAATTTGGCGCAAGATACGTGTATTTCCAGCGAATAAGTTAATCAACATGAATCAGTATAGTTAGAGTAAAGAAGTCTCCATAGTATAGTCTGTTTCTATATTTCTCCTATAATTTTATCAACTCACTACTAGATAACGGGAAGTTGCAGTTGATCCTCTGAGGTGATTCTTAGCGGAGGCAATCCTAAATTTATTAGTGATTGTATTTCTATGCCTTTTAACCCTAGACTAACATCTTTATCATCTTTTACTACACCTGCAAGTTTTCTATAACAGTAAAATCAAGCTATGCTCTGATATAGGAGCACAAGGCTAATTATTATTCCATTAATAAATGCCTGTGATTGATACTCCAGACCCTTTGAATAACCTTTTGAATAAGGTATTGATGCAAATACAATTTCTATACAGAGATAAACTGAGCAACTCTTTAAGCTATTTGAACCCGATTCACATGGCTTTATTCATCTGCGAGGTTAGTTAGAACTGTAATATGCTAAGTTAAAAGGAAATTTTACAAGTTTAGAGTCGTTAATATGTATGTTTTCTACCTAGAGACTGCAAATAAATACCATCCATGGTCTTTACTTATCTACGACGGGCTTGGGTTTCGGTTCCCTGGTACCTGTTTACTAAGGCTTCCAGTCCGTCGGTTCCCGCGATCCATACCAAGACCACGACACTGTTAACCTAAGTCAACGCACACGACCGAGCGTAGTCGAACGAAATATGTCAGCAGAAGAGTCTTCAGATATCGATTGGTTGGCATGGTCTCAGGTTGTTGCATCCTTCCTCATACAACTATGTACATGGGGTTTGAGTAACACATTTGGTGTTTTCCAATCCTATTTTGAACATAGTCTCCTTAAATCATATTCACCTTCCAACATTGCCTGGATTGGAACAACACAAGGATTTTTATCAAGTATAGTTGGAATCATCAGTGGACCACTATACGATAGAGGCTACATTAGATCCCTACTGTATTTTGGTGGGGTGCTGAATGTTGCCGGTCTATTGTGCACCAGCTTCGCAGAACAATATGCGTGGATTATTCTCTCCTTTGGCGTTGCCATAGGACTAGGGTCCGGTGCTCTGTTCGTACCGTCTCAAGCAGTGGTGCAAGACTATTTTCCCGAGAAAAACGCTGCTCTGCCAACGGGGATCTCTACGACGGGAATGAGCGTCGGCGGAATAATATACCCTATCGTATTTAGGCAACTGGAAACTAAATTTGGTTTCTCATGGGCATGTCGCACGATTGCTCTAGCAAATGGAGTCTTTTTGCTGATATCGTGCCTACTCATAAAGCCTCGGGGGCCACGGGATACAGAAAGAAACACAAGGCCACGACCTTTCAACTGTGAAGTATTTCACGACTGGAAGTTAATACTATTGGGTATTTGTGCCCTACTCCTAAATATGGGGATCGATGTGCCCTTCTACTTCGTTTCTACCTTTGTTCAAGGAAACCTAGGGCTTTCTCCAACAGTAGGCGATTCTCTACTTGCGGGAATCAATGCCTCATCTTTATTCGGCCGAATTTTTCTCACCTGGATATCCAACTACTCCAAGCCCCTAATTACGTGGCAATTCACAATTCTTGGAGCATGCGTGCTGCTATTCTGTTGGTCGGTTATAGAAACGCTAGCAGGAATAATTATCTTCGTAATTTTCTACGGATTCCTCGTAGGTGGTTTAAGTTCTTTAATACCACCATCAGTCCGACAACTTGATCCGGACTCGGAAGCGATTGGAGCTAGAATAGGGTTAGTTGAAGGATTTCAGGGAGTCGGTTTCTTGATTGGACCGCCCATTGCTGGAGCAATTTTGAACTCTCCAGCCGGTTACTTCGGGGTCAGTATGTTCTGCGGATCACTTTACTTTGCTCTCTTTCTGGTAGTTGGTATTCTCACATGTAAACGATCCACATCAGAGGAGCATCCGAGTGAAAGCCTAGCGCTATCAAATATTGAAGGCGAGGCGACAACTGCGAGGGTAAATAATTAAGAAACACTTGGGCTGCTAGAAGAGTTAGGGTCTAGTAAACAGTGACATATAATTACCTGTTAACATACTAAATTAATACCATGCTTTCTCTTGGTAACTACCTAAGCATTTGAAGAAGTTTGCGGTTAAAGATTATTAGCTAAATTATACAATTGAAGTCAATAGAATGTATTGTCTAATAAAGTGACAGGAGGGTCGGATTTCAAAAGACCATATCATCTGGAAAACCCACGGTTCTAATCAGTAGAGAAGGCGAGCTCCCTTAGCTGCGACGGCGATATTCGTAATGAACTTGAGTACCTAGGCTCTTACCACTCGGAAATTCCCTATACCCGCCAATCTTCTTAAGCTCTTGTTTGATGATATTGATAGCCTTTTCCCAGTTCTTCTCGTCCAAGCGCAGCCAGTGGTCTTCCGAGAACCTACTCTTTTCGACAATGCTCTGTAGAAAGTTTTTCGGACCATTTATCCAAACCAGCGCGCGAGTGAGAGAGTAAGAGTCCATGTTCACGGCCTCGGCAGGCTTACCTACTATATACGGCGCGCTGTCCGTAAAGCGGTGGCTGCACCTATAGAATATGAAATCTGCTCCGAATAGCCGAAGGGCGAGATTCCTCCAAACTTTCAGATATGATGAAATGTTGGGGTTGACAGCGGGTTAAGCGGCTATTGCTGGATATTAGCGGTATCTTAGGTACCTTAGGTACCTAGGTTAGGTACATGACGTTATAGCGCTAGAACCTTTTATCCCCACACTCCGCATTTCTCCAATTCTAGCGTCGGCTCTCCCCTAACAACCAAACAATTCACCCACCTACGCCCTAAGCATTACCCTATATTGCTTATCCCCTTGGCTGGCATAAGACAGCAACTCCATAAATTTCAGTATCAATACATACGGATTGGCTAGAAAAGAAAGAAACGCTCGCGCGGTACTGAATCGACCAATAATATTTGTAGGTTGCGGTTTTAGAGACTAATCATAAGGCCTTTTCCTATTATGTTAATGAATGACGTTAAGCCTTATGTACTAATACTGAAATTTATGGAGTTGCTGTCTTATGCCAGCCAAGGGGATACGTTGCTTATCAGTGTTTGCTGTAATACCGGTGCATACCTTGTACCTAATATCTCGGAATGCCTCCTCTCAAACCTTCTACGCATTCCGCTACGTTTACCTTCGGTAGCCGTTAATCCTTACCTAAATTGCTTCCGATTCCGTCAAGTCGCTTCCGAGTTCCGAGTTGCTTCGATCGCGATCATGTTGCAACATTCAATATTTGATCCAACTCATGCCAACTCTCTTTGAAAGACGTATAATATTAATATATACCAACAAGTAGTTAAACTATAACTATACTGAATCAACTCCCTTTGAACCATACACGATGCCCGTCACCACATTCGAGTTCGACGAAAAATATAGGTATCAAAATGGCTTTGGGTCTTACTTTGAGTAAGTTAGCCATATGCTATTACCACTTATACCAAATTACTTACGCTATAATAACAATCTAGGACTGAGGCTATCTCGGGTGCTCTACCCATTGGTCAAAATTCCCCTCAGAAACCTCCATATGGACTATACGCCGAGAAGCTTTCTGGTACTGCGTTCACGGCCCCACGGCATGAAAACCAGCAGTCATGGCTCTATCGCATATTACCTTCGTGTGCACATCCACCATTTTCCTCCGCTGCTAAAAGTGCTTCAAAGTCCGATAAGCTGATCGATCCCGTAAAGCTTGAATACATACCAAATCAACTACGATGGGATCCTTTCGACCACGACGAACAGACTGACTTCGTCTCAGGTCTACGTTTGATTGCCGGAGCTGGCGATCCAACACTGAAACAAGGCATTGGAATGTACGTGTACGCTGCGGGAAAGTCGATGGATGAGCGTTCTGCTTTTTACTCGGCGGATGGTGATCTTCTAATAGTCGCTCAGGATGGAGTTTTAGATATCAGAACTGAGCTAGGATGGCTTCTCGTCCGACCCATGGAGATCTGTGTAATACCCCGTGGGATCAGATATCAAGTTTATCTACCGTCCGGTGCAGTTCGTGGGTATGCACTCGAGCTTTATCAGGGCCACTTTACACTCCCGGAACTAGGTCCGATCGGATCGAATTGCCTTGCCAATGCCCGCGACTTCCAGGCTCCTGTTGCTTCATTTAGCGAGGACTTTGGCGCTACCGCTTCCGAAGGCCCTAATACATACCTGATTACTAGCAAGTTTAATAACTCGTTCTTCCAAACCAAGCAAGCTCATACGCCGTTTGATGTCGTTGCTTGGCATGGGAATTACTACCCGTATAAGTACGACCTTGGCCGTTTCAACACTATTGGGAGTATTTCGTATGACCATCCAGACCCATCGATCTTCACAGTGCTCTCGGCTCTTTCAGACCACCCTGGCACTGCTATCGCCGATTTTGTTATATTTCCTCCGCGTTGGCTGGTAGCCGAGAACACGTTTAGGCCACCATGGTACCACCGCAACACGATGTCTGAGTTTATGGGTCTTATTGCCGGAGAGTACGATGCGAAAAAGGGAGGGCACGGCGGCTTCATGCCTGGTGGTGCAAGCTTGCACAACGTTATGAGCGGGCATGGGCCGGATGCCAAGAGTTTCGAGGGCGCCTCCAATGCTGAGCTCAAACCTGCTTTGGTTGGTAAAGGTAGCTGTGCTTTCATGTTTGAAAGCTGTCTGATGGTTGGCGTCACCGCATGGGGCCTCAAGACGTGTAAAAAGGTCCAGGAAGGGTACAGTGAAGAGAGCTGGGGTGGCGTACAGGCTCATTGGAAGAAACCTGAAGGTGTTAGTGCCAACAGTCACTTACTGTAGTAAGACACCCACGAATAAAGCCAGAGTCAAGGCTTCTCGGAAATTGTGAGTATATCTCTTCAATCTTTGCACTATAGGTCCGAATGCCATCTTACCGGCAATGAAATATTAATATATATGACTATTTTAACTATAGATCGATTTTGGTGTTCGCTCGTATTTTCCCAGGCTAGTGGTTCAATGTCGTAGATCCGTCATATTCAAGGAACCAATCCTTAAACGCCGAAAATCATACAGTGTAGATTGGAGATCTAAATAGAGAGGAGCTACATATCGCTTGTTATACAGGTACCTAACATACCATACTAATTGAACAGATTAAAGGAATTAACATCGCAAGCTCAGACCATTCCATTACCTACAAGCCAGATGCTTCAATCTATAGAAGCAACGCTTAAATACTTGGTCGACCTCCCTGATTCCCTCGCCGCCTGGACTCTCCTCTTCCATTGCCTGCTTCCATTTCATGCAGGATGCACTCCCTTGAGCTCTGGATACTCCGGGACTGGTATGCCACCCTTTTCTTCGGGCGCGAGACGCATGAGTATCTTGTCTATCTTGAAGAACGAGATAATCGATACAATGAGGTGCAGAAGGGAGATAGCCCAGTTCGACTCTAATGTCATAATTTTGGGTATACCAGGCATGAGCTTCTGGGCCTCGTCGATGTATGGACGAATCTTGACATCGTAGGCCTCTAGAGCGGTCGGTACGTCGCCTTTATGTCGCGCTAGCTCTCCAGCCAGTGTCCAGGCGCCCATTAAGGAGACTGTCGTGCCCATTCCTGTTACCGGCGCTGCGCAGTAACCCGCATCGCCAATCAACGCAATGCGACCTTTAACTACATGAGGCGCTTTGATTTGCCCGATAGAGTCCGCGTAGAAGTCTGTCGATTCGGCCATCCCCTTGAGGAAGCGATCCATTTGCCACCCAGAACCACGGAATATTTTGTCGAAAGTTTCTTTCTGCTCCTCTACGGATTGCCGCTCAATTCCTCGTCGCACCTCTTCTGACTCTGTGTACACCATCAAGTAGACTTGCGTATAAGGCCGGTCACCCGTGCGCGTGGCCAGGCCACGTCCTTTTCCTGCGTGGTAGAAGCGCGCCAGGCTATCATCCCCGGGTTCTTTTGGAATGGTATAGTACGCGACGTAGACGTTCAGGCGCTTGAACATGTCGAGCCCAGCCTCTTCGCCAAATATCATGCGCCGTGTTCGCGACCATTGGCCATCAGCTCCGACTACTAGGTCGTACCGCCTCGTCCGACCATCTGAGAAAGTTACATCCACCCCCTTTTCATCTTGGTCTAATCGCGTGACCGTCGCGCCGAATAAGTAGCTGACGCCGGGTCCATTTTCGTCCTCAGGAGTACTCTCTTGGTTTCCATCTGAATCCTGGAGACTAGCATCATAGAGAATCTGACACAAGTCGCCACGCAGGATCTCAAAGTCGCTGGTGAAAGACTGCTCTATAGTAGGATATTAGCAATCAACCGTATAGGAAAGAAATACGAATGACCGAAGTCTATCTTAGGGATAATAAATCCTTAATATATTCGACAATGAAGTTCTATCCCCCACGATAGACCAAAAAGGAGTTAATAAAAGCTCTTGAAGGTACTTACGGCCGGTTTCAGTTCCTGCAGCGCCGAACAGGCCGTGTTGTCTACCCTTGGAGTCGACGAAGGTTATACCGCTTTCATGCACACACTTCTCTTTCACGGCGTCGATAAGCCCAAGCCGTTTCATAATCGGTACACCCCATGCCCGGAGATCAATTTGTAAACCGTTATGCCGTATTCCCGGGTATCGTTCCACAACCGTGATACTGTTCTCCGGGTCGGAACGCCGCAGTAGCGTCGCCAAGGCCGGCCCACAGATACCCGCACCGACGATGAGGACCTTGAGCGGCATTATCGTCGAAAATCTTTTTACTAGTGGGTTAGGTACTTAGAGGTGGTGTAGTAGTAGAAGCTTTTATTTACCCCGAATTGTCGGAGGGGGGGAAAAGGAGTAATAAGTATCTATTAACTAAATCTGATAAAACAAGAGAATTGGTGGATATATTATCATTATTAGACATGTGGGAGCGTAGTCTTATATATCTATACGTCTTGATTAATCTGTATATGTCTATGTATACCGGGGTCGAGCGAAGATATTCGGCTCCGCAGGCTAGACCTTCTCGGCCCTCGTCTTGTAGTGCATAGTCCGAAAACGCGGTCCATAGGTACCTACATACTTCATAGTTATTATGTACTGACATACTGGCATGGTACCTTGTTCGCGGGCGCAGCCCCAGCCTAAAGGTGAACCGTTACTACCCATGTCTACCGATCAATCAAGTAAGAGCAAAAGAAGTATGTATATCCCCGAACGGACTCGGATATGTTTTTTTCAGGTCTAACCATCCGACCGTCCGCACCTAGTCCTTCTTTTATCACCGTAAAACATGAATACCAGGCGGGTGTGACCTTACAATGTCTGCTCGTCGAATAAATGGCCAGCTTGCGTAGTTCAGGGGAGCTAGACCGCAGAATGAGTCAAATTTCAGACGACTCGTAAAGAGTTAAGCTCAACCCCACCAATAAGTCATCAGATAAATACACGATACATGCAGATGCTGCTACGATATTTCCTCGGGCGGGAACGTTGTGGCGACCCATAACGTCTTTACCGGATTCAATAGAGACCAAAACGTTCATCGCTTCCTTCGAGGCGTCATATAGTAGAAATTACTGATTGATCCTGCGGCTAGATAGATATATTTAAAGCTATGTTTTAGCTCCCCTTAGACTCGTCTTAGGATGGTATAATTTAGAACAGACCGATCGGTTGATCCCGCTAGAGCAATCAATGCGCTGATGGTTCCCGGAAAAGCCAGGTTTAGTTTCCGTCTCTAGTAAGTGCCGAGAGCGAGAACGAGAGCGAGCTTCTGTTACATATATGGGCCGTCCTCGAATAGAATAAGTATGCGGCGAATCATTGGACGTAACCTCAAACATCAATATACGACGACCAGATGAAACTAACCTTTAAGATCGAGCTAATAAAAGCGCAGTAACTGCCCATTGATCTATTTACAGCTCGCCGTATCGTCGCTCCTTACCCCCGATATATTTAACCGCATAGGATTTACATGAGGAATGAACATAGCATTATGTCAACTAGTTGAACCGATGGTGACTTGATTTACTTTTCCACCTAATTCAACTTCACGATGTAAATCTTTCCAAGTTTTTAGACTCATCCAGGCCCCACTACCAAAAGTAACTAGCATATGAATAAACCCATAATAATATAATAAAGATATATACGTCAACCTTGTCGTCGCTTACAGGAGTCTTGGGAGTTAGAAACGAAACGACATTATTATTGAACCCGATATACGAGTTGCTTCATTCTACTTAGTAAACACCACAAACAATTACTCAATTATTAGGTACTCAATTACTACGGAGATACATCCATTACGGATATGGCCGGTGAGTTAGAGATTACTCGATCTCGGTATGACTCTAATTGACAATGGTAGCATCTTGTTGAAGTTCCAAGGTACGGTCTGATTCTGGGACTTCGGGAACTCGGATAGTTACGTTCACACAAGACCCGTCTTGCGGTGTCTGTTTTCCCGTATGTCCATATATCCTGCATTAGCTGAAGGGTACGCTCGCCTCTTCGCTATAATTTATATCACGAGGATGCCTAAGCACCTAGCACTAGCAACAAGGACGTAGTCGTACTAAAATAAGAGCCACAGGAGCCATATGCCGGATCTACGGGTCCCATAAGGCTTGGAACAGGTTAATCGCCTTGGCAAGGTAGAGAGAATGGGGTATAGTCGCCTCATCTTCTGCATTGCGTACCTAGATATTCCAATGTAACATTAATGCATACCCCACCGATAATGTTGAAATGAGCGGTTAAGAGACCGCTACCAGGTAAAATATCAGCAAGAATTTTAATAAGGTAGGACAGACCTCCCACTTCACTTATAACGAAGCAAAACCACTTGATCTCACACATTCACCATTCTTTTCACTACATCGTCAGTCGAGTGAAGCTCCTTCGAGTCACATCAAAGCATATCATAATACTAATTTCATTTCAATCCTCTGGATATATTTACATCTCATGGTATATCGATATACCAATGTGTAACTATCCTTTCATAACCTCTTTCCAAGACTAGTAAAGCGTTCCAAGGCAAATTCGACGTAATCCATAAAGCATGTTGACACGAATACTTCAGTTCAGTTACGAAGGCGGCCCTTAAACGTCAAGCGCATTCTCTCTTCGGTAATCCTGTATACTTCAGGGAACCACGAGTTCAACCCGTCGTCCTCATCCGAACGACCATTCATCATAGTCGTGAGCGCGCGGGCGCACATCCAACAGAGAACCATACCGTGGCCTTGGAAACTAGTTGAGACCCAAAGGTCCTTCTCTCCTGGAACCTCGCCGACGAAAGGGAGGCCATCGGGGCTATATCCCATGATACCTGTCCACGCATTACGTATTCGACCTTCTTGGTCGTCTTCACCCCAGTTATCGCCGAAGTATCTCGGTAAGCTATCTTCAAGAGCTTTTGCGATGTCATCGTTAAGTGTAGTATCATCTGTCGTCCCGTACTCCTCGAGACCCTCTGCGACGGCCTTAGAGAGAGCCCCACCAATTACGATATCCCCTTCAAACTGCGTGCCTCGCGGTCGTTTAATCATATAATCGTACCCCTTTTCACTGAAGAAACTGTATGACCCTGCCAGGCGATCCTTCGGTACGCTTAGACCGGGTCGCTGCGCTGTGACATGTCCCCGTAATGGAACGACGACTCCCTGGAATTTCTTCCAAATGTTCGCAGTATATCCATTGGTAGCCAATACAATTTTCTGCGCTTCTATCGAACCCCTGGGGGTCTCTACCTTCCAACCACCACCCTCAAGCCTTTCTAGATTGATCGCGGGGGTATTGGTTTGCAAGTTAAGCCCCTTCTCTAAGCACAGTTTCAACACGCCTATAGTAAACTTGTAGGAATTTAAACTTCCTGCCTCATATGATAAACCACCATATACTTCCTCATCTCCCCCCTGGCCGCAGAAGAACTTGGAGCTTACTTCTTCAGCACTATGTAGAGCGTATACAGAGGCATCATCGTTGGGCATGGCATCCTGCATAGCCTTAACAGCACGTTGGTCGAACTCCCATCGCGCCGCATCATAAACCACATCTACTGTATCGCAAGGGTGGCTATCACACTCAATCCCGTGTTCCCTTGCGAACGCGTGCACGGCACGAATGTTAGCCAACTCGAGACGAGCGATCTTGATAGCCATAGCAGTGCCATGACGCTTCTCATGGTGTTGGAATGAAAGATAGGATGCCGCCTTCTGTGACCGCCTATAAGACGTAGGATCAGTTTCATAGAAATACATTCAAAGTATTCAGGGACAAGAATATACCGTTCCGTCCTGTTGCACCCGAGCATGTCTGCCGAGCCTCCAGCATGACAATGTCGCGGGTGCCTTTCTCTAGAAGGTTGAAAGCCGCTGCAGCCCCAGTGATCCCACTTCCAATAATTACAACCTCCGCCTTCCCCGGCAATGAACCAGTCGTGCGCAGGTCGGCGATCTCGTGGGGCTCAAGCTGCCAGTAGCTCCGAGTGGGGTTCTCTCTCGGCAGAGTAACGGGGATTGCGGCACGTTTGTCCATTATCTAGAATAGAGCAATAAAAATATAAGACTTATTCGCAGTATCTGAGAAATACGTTTGGTGCAATGAGGCATTCATGCCTTGACCCCATGTAAACCTGATGTTTCAATTAGAATCGTGGATTGAAACTTGAGGTTTGTTTGAGTGCATGGGGGGATAATAAGTTTCCCCTTATAATTACTACTCGAAAGATTTCAGTTATAGAGTCTTATTTCACATCGGATTATAATCATGCGGGTTTGAATGCGACCTGCAGAATTCATAGATAAGAAGACAGACGTTTGAGCCATTCAAGTTGCACATGTACCATGTATCACCTATGAGGTCCTTCTCGCGTGACCACACAGTAGATAAGACGGTATAAAAACGGTATAGATATTGTGGCTTTAGTGGCTAGTATAAATAGGGGTTATGGAATAGGGGTTAAAGCTGAACTACGAAAGAAGATGCCCCAAATTTACAATTCATAGAGAAGATAAGATGCCCTAGGTAGGTAGTCAATCATCTACTGTAAATATCTAATAATATCCCAAACAGGCCTAATTTCCCCGATTAACTACACAACTACTATATCTTTTCATCACCATTTTCTACCTTTTCCTTAGGACCTTCATCTTCCGTAGGCACTTCAGTCGGGACTTCAGTAGCTACTTCCTCTGGGTTTGCCTCCACGTCGGCTTGCGCTCCGAGAGGCGAGCCGTTTTCTTCTATCTTGGGTTTTCTCATGTCCCATCCACCACTCCAACCTAACCAACGTTTCTCGTGTGGTCCTCTCACAAAAAGTATCAGTAGCCCAGCTATCATCTGTGCGATATTGAAGGCACCGGAGTATGTCCATCCTCCCTTCGCGTAAAGTGCGTTGCCGACTGCTGTACCAAAAAGCTGTCCGCAAAACGTGTGAACCATGTAGATGGAATTTACAGCATTTTGAGCTGTAGGATCAACATGCGCTATGGCCACACGATTTCCAACAACAATTGTATTCATCCCTAGATCTCCGAAGAATGCCCAGATGACAGGGCCTGCGAGTGAAAACGTACCAACGAATGTGCCGATACAGATCGCAGCAAGAGTCACTAGGTGCGCAATAATAAGTGTACCGTGAGGATGTAGGCGTGCTATGAGCAAGCGAGAGATGACCGGATTAAGAAACACCGGTGAGATGCCGATAAGAGCGAATAGTCCAATCGCCAATGTTGACATGTGGAAAACGTCAGCTAATTGAAACGTCAAGGTCGTCCAGAATGACGTGAACATCCCCGAGGTCAAAAAGGCTATAAGAGCCATCTGAGTAAGATCCGGCTTGAGGAAAGGGAGAGTAACAATTTTCAGAAGTATCCTTGGATAAGATGTGCCAGGGCTTAGGGTGGGATAATCGGGCATAGTGAAGAAGAGGAGTATCCACACAAGCACCTGAAGGCCGAACGAAATCCAATAGACGTTTCTCCACGAGGTGTACTGGGTGATAATACCGCTAAGAAGACGCGCAACGAGGACACCAAACACAAGGCCAGACATAACCACCGATATCATAGTAGTCCGATGCCGTTTTGGGGCATATTGAACCGCTAACGGGAACATAAGTTGCGGAGTTACAGTCAAGAGACCGACGATAAACGAGAGGCCGAGGAATGACGAAAAGGACTGAGTAAGAGTACAGCCAAGCCACTGGGACGTGTTAACTAAGTTTCTCCCAATCGAAGTTTCACGCTTACTATCAGAGCCGTTACGAATATTAGACATAGAATCATAGGCCGTCGCCGAACAATATCGCCAACAGGTACGATCAGAAGAAGTCCAGCAGCATATCCAGCTTGAGTCATAGTCGGTACCAACGAGGCATGTTGATCTGAAATACCGAAGTCGTCCGCAAGGATATTTAAGATAGGATGAGTATAATAGAGATTCGCTACACTGAAAGATGCGGACTGAATAGGAGTTAGCATAAGTGTGGCTTACCATGTCAAGATATCTAGAGATCTGTTTGATCACTAGCGGAATGGTAACAAATTTACTTACTAGCCCGAACAGGATGTTCATTCCCCAGCTGAGGTCATGATTCACATCCGGATCCCATTTGACCCAGGAAGGTGTCCAGACAAGTCGATCAAAGGCATTCGCAAATCGTTGGTAGTAACTTGCCGGCGGCTCTTCGTTGGCCATTGCGATCTCTAGATATGATTAATCCCCTTGATCTACAAGCATACGAGAGGAAGCCAAGCGACACAGACAACTCATTATATACGAGCTGTCTCTGGCTTTGAGTCACACCGAAAGAATGCCATGAGATGTTGGATAACGTTGGACTACGTTGGTTTCCGTTCTAACATCGAATAAAATGAATAAAACGGCGAGATTAGAATGGTGTTGCATTATAAGCGAACAGGGGTCCAAGGGACCTTTTCTCCATGCAAGTAACTGGAATCAGTTAGCCCAGGCTTATACCTAGGTGGGTACGGGGAATGAACAACATGAAATAAAGGTTTAACGTTGGCTCTTACACATGATAATATACAAACTTAAGATCTTTTTATACTACCATGCACTTCCATAATCAGAGGGCTTTATAAGATAAAAAGGTCATTGATATATGCGCGTGAAGAAATCATAGAACATAGCTACTAACCCTGTATTTGAGAAACGTTAAAGACTAAACTAAAGGCACTGAAAGAATAAAACAACTAATCAAGCAACACAATGATACCATGCTAAAGCGCATACATCGCGAATAGGCTACATATCATCTACATATCATCTAAGGCTAAAGCACTTTCTCCAGCTAAGTTTCGATATGGACTCCACGCTTTCGGCACTACGGTAAAGACCCGAACTAATGGTTCAGGGTCTCCTATAAATAAACGTATCCACATCCCCTATATGATCTTCTACTCAGCGTCGAATTATTGAATCATATGTACGGATTTGACAAGATAATCGCTTAAATAAGACAATGACCTTTTGTAAAATTAAACCTTATTTCTCTTCGCGAGTAGCGTTGATAGCGAGGGGGCGCTTAAGAATCAACTGACATTCTCTTCTAAGCCGAATTGCCTATTATAAGCATTGTTGTTGTTACACGAAGTGTCACCTTCCAACAGCCCACGTGTCGTGACATCGTAACCCATTGTGGAACAATAGATTTAATCGTAGTGAAGGAAGAATACGTGCTTAATGCAAGGGCTTTCAAATCGGTATCTCTATAGGAACTGGAGGAGAGCTCAATTGAGTTGCTTTTCCCTGAGTGCCGTGTTGATAATGAACCAGACCATCGAGGTTCCCAGAAGGAACATTTTACTAGGTACGTAGGTGGTCATAACAAACCCTAGCACTGATCAATCTTATGATATACTTAGTGTGGTCGTTATTAGGAATATTCTTATAAAAAAGATCTCTCTATCCGTCTATCAACTAGGGTATCATCCAAAGCTCCCAATCTCCTTCTTTGCCAACGCGTTCGCTCTTCTATGAGATACTTCGCATAGTCCATTAAATTCGAATCCCCAGTTACTTTCATCTATTTATACCATAATACTAAAAACAAAACAATTAAACCGAAACAGAAGCACTATCTTGCTTCTTATCCGGGTCGTTTACGACAATTTGTTCCTCGGTTACTCTAACCTCGTGGGTGTGGTCGAGCTCCGAGAGCACGATCCAGGTGAACGGAACGCATAGGATGGTGAGTCCAAAGTTGAGACCGATGCTGGCAAAGTGATTGGCGTTTCCTTCGGATTGCATACTGTGAACAAGATAGTTAGTAATTGGATACCTAGGTAGGTAGGTGGTTAAGGGGGGGAAGATATAACATACGCCCAAGCAACCGTCTGTCCAAGAGCCTCAACACCTCGTAGGATACCCGTGTGATGCGAAAGCGATGACAAGTCTGTCGCATACTGGCCGACAAGCCAGTAAAGGAATTGTTGGAAGGCCTGGCCACCGAAAGTCCAAAAGAAAACAAGCGCGTACGCAGACCCGAAGCCACCTTGAAACCAATCGAATACCGGAGAAATGGGCGCGTCGTAAAACCGCTTCTGTAAGATTGTTGCCCAGATCCAAGTGCCAAGAAGGATGGTTACAATGGCAGTAAAAGCAATGCGGGCACGCGTTCGGATGTGGATGTTTTGGCGGTCGAGCAGAGCGGCAACGATAAAGGAGCTGAAGATACCGGCGAAGTTCGTAAAAAATGAGGAAAAGGCACGCGAGCGGACAGTAAAGTATTTAGTTAGCCACGTGCTAACGAAGCCGTTGTAGAAATAGCTGATGAAGAAGGCTGGTAGCAATAGCAACACACGTCGCGACACTAGTAATTTTCCCACAGCCCGGAATTCGGCACCCCAGGTCGCCTCCTTTCGTACGACGACGCGGGTGCCATCCTTGCGCCATACCTTACTCGCGGGGCTAAGGCAGAGGGCAATAGGTAGGCCCAGGCACATAATAGCGATAAAGACGATGTATGTAGCGGAACCGACCGAGCCAGCTGAAGAACGCTGCGCGTTGAGACCAAGGTTAATAGCGCCGCCAACAATAGGACCAGCGGCCTTAGCACTCTGCCAGATAGCAAGGTAAAAAGCACGGTCCTTAGGACTCGGGTAGCCGATAATGATGGCGGCCTCGGCTGCCCAGAAAAAGCCGGCCGAGATACCGCAGAGGGCGCTGCCGAAGAGCATAAACCAGGTGGTCGCGTTCACGTTGTTGGTGTAGAGACCGGCACCGTAGAGCGGATAGCCAATAGCGCCGAGAGCAAGACCATAAGGTAAACCGATGCGATTGTTAATGGCTCCTGCAGCTACACAGACGATAGAGAAGAGACCATAAACAAGAGCATTAGCCGCTGATACAGCATATGGTTCAGCAGCGCCGCCAGCCCCTAAACCGCCGAGGGCATCCCACATACCCGGCGCGGTAAAAGAGACACACCGCACGCGACAGCAATCTGAAAGGGTACAGACCGGAAGAGCGAATGCTTCAGCGGCTTAGAAGCCGCAGACGTAACAACACCATCATCCGGATGTTCGGCATAATCCGAAGTCGAAGACGCCATTTCTCTCTCTTTCCTTGACGATCCTCGGCGTAAGTGCTGAGGAAATATAAATCTGTCGTCAAATATATAGAGGTAGGTAACTTAAGGGGGGGGAGGAAGCAAGTTCTGCTACCGAAGAGAGCGGCAAATCAAATTGCTAGATTCGAAATCTTGTTCCAAAAACAACACCATGGTTACAAGGTGCATGAGAGCACGCATTATATATATACATACTTTACACTCATAGTCGTCGCAATAATAATAAGACCAAGACCCAAGGGGAACATGAGCTCGAAATTTTCGGGTGGATCCTATTGCGTGATTGTCTGGATCCCTACTTTTTTCGCTGATAGCGCGACACGGTGACAATCTGACTGACGCCGGTAGACTGACTAGGGTAAATCGCCGCCTAGGCCCGCGGAATATCGTTAGTGAATATTTTAATGAGAATTATGAATCAGTTTAGCTCTGTTATGGAAGTTTTTTTAGTTGCTTATTGAGAGTGGACATTAATGTTCATGTTAAAAGTAACTAATAGAAATACATAATCGTTTATTGTTAAATCTCATATATTTTCTATAAGGTTTATTTTGTAGGACCTTAGTAAGCAAATATAGTTGGAATAGTAATGCATAGTTCTAGGAGCCGCATCTAACCATGTGTAAACCAATTCTACGGATGCGTACATTATATTACATACTGAGAATTCTCTTATACGCGGCATAGTCTCGGTGAAATGTGCAGACGAAACTCGTTAGCCCGATTGCGCCATCCAAGCTAAATAATAAAAGGGAGGAGCCCTAGTCTTACAACAGGCGGGCAATCCGGGGTATTTGCCTCAATATATCCTTCAGCTTTTAAGTTCAGGTTCGATTCTCTTATATATTAGACATTCAATATCTTTTATATATAAGTTGACGGCCTACATAACTTGAAAATTTTAATTTTATAGGGCAATAGGTTTATCATAGACACGGAATAGGGGTGGCTTCGCTATCAAGTTGCACAGGAAATAAATAACAAAGTGTTCCTAATCATACAAAGACTTTACAATACAGTGTAAAAGTCAGAGTAAAGACCATATGGACTTTCAACCTATACTTTAGGTACTTGCTTTCTTAGATTTAAATGCTTTACAGACGAACAAGCTATATAAATCTTAGAACACTGTATAGGGGATCGCAATTTAACATGTGTTGAATAAAAAGTACGTTATGCCAAGCTATAAGTCAAATTTACCTTGCAATTTCTAGCATATCTTGGACACTTTTCAGCATACTACGGTAAATACAGCTAGCATGACAAGCAGTGCAAATGTCTAGATCAATAAGGGAAAAGATGAAGACGATAACAAATTAGACTTCATTCAGTCATTCATACATCAGCTAGTCCACTGGCTATCCTTATAACATACCTAAAGTCCTACTAATCATAATTCTTTTCGGCAAGACTGTACAAGTTGCAGTCCATCTGCCTAGGAACTGATGTTTAAACAAACATCCTACTTTGCGTCCCGAGTCTGTTCTCCTGCCACTGGTAAACCACCGCTTGCAGCGCTCTCGCCTACCAGAACCTCGTCTTCAGGGACACCAGCTCCGATGCTCCCAGAAATACTCAAATTACTCATGCCCCGCTCGATAACTCTACGCTCTCCTCGCCGGTCTCCGGCTATAGTAGTGCCACCCCCGATGACACCTCCAATTCCGGTCGCGCCGCTGACGCTGACGCTGGCTGTAGTGCTGGCGCTCTCGCTTCGGTCCCTTCCACCGCTAGCGCGACCGGAGTCGCTCTGTCGGCGATCCCGCAGAGCCCGTTCTAACTCCTTAATCCGTCTCTTGAGATTTTCATTCTCACGTTTAGCCGACTCTAACTCTTGTCGATAGTGAGCTGTCTCCTCGTAGCGCAGAGTGGCCGGCAAGAGTCCCGGCGAAAGCTCCGAGCCGGGAGTAGCTGCCACGCTCGTGTTAGAAGACGTGTAACCTCGAGGGAAATAACCGGATCCATAGTCGTATGGGACGCCATGTGACTGAGTGTATGAAGAACCTAGACTAGTGCTAGCATGATACGGGTGGGGTGAATGGTTTCGACTTTGGCTTCTCTGAGAAGCGGTGCTGTTCTGTCGACTCATTCCCGGTGCCGCTCGAGGATTTCGTGCCGCTTCTAAGACCGAAGCAGCACTCCCGGAGTGGGGTTGCGGGATTGGTATCGGAGCAGGCATCGAGCCTTGGATGGTAGCAGACTGGTTCAGGCTGCGTGTACTGGCACTTGAATTGGTCCGATGATGTCGACGGTCTGCGCTTGTCGTTGGGAGAGGGAATCCCGGACCGGATAGGAGGTGAGTATCGGTGAACGAGGAGGGGTGGGTCTGATCGGCAGAGGTCGATGCGCTCGTAGACGAAGCATTAGAGGCTACAGACGAGTTCTGTGCAGCTCGCAGCATGACCAAGTCGCGGCTCAAGCGGTTCACCTAAGCCATCCAAGTTAGAATGTTTACTACAGCATCGTTAAGGAGGTTACGACGAAAGATCATACCAAGAGTTCTTGCTCCTGTTCCAGCTGCGAATGCAGCTCTGCAGCCGTCAAGGGTCGCGGATGTCGCAAAGGACCTGGACCAGCACCGACGCCAGTGTCGTCCCGTCCAGGAGCAGAATGCGGAGCAGACATGGTATGAGTTCCTGGAAGTGGTGGTGACGAAAGAGAAATCGAGGATGTTCGGTTGACAGTCTGTTGATTCGAAGGTAAGATGTTTAGAGAAGGGGACATAGGAGTTGGAGGTACCGAGGTATGTGATTGCCCATTATGATTGGAAGAAGGATTTCGAGAAGCCGCAAGGACGTGGGGAGAAGGTGGGACTGAATTAAGGTCAGGCATATTGACCAAGCTATGATACCAAGTAGTTCGATGTCCTTAAGTCGTTTGATATCTCAGGCACTTGCATAGAAGGGGTTAGCTACTAGAATACTCCGAGTATCAACACAAGAGCTAACGAAGATTAGGTCCCTATTTGGTTCCGTCGACAGTGGTCACATTGTTCTATTAAATTTCCGTGATGACACGATAAAATGTACTAGTATTTGTTTGGGCAAAAGTTATTAGGAATATTGGGAATTCTGTTTACTGTTGAAGTCGGGTCGCGTTTAGTGGTCTGCGCCTGTAACTTTCAAAGCTTCTGCGGGGTCCTTCAGCCTTATTGATAGGAAACTTTATTATGGGTCGTGGCTTGAGCTGTCTAAGTGCTAAAGATACATAGTACATAGGTACCTATGTATACCGTATGTAAGGTGAAGTCCACTGGAGTTGACCCATCACATGCATCTAAGTGCATGAAGTACCTAAGTATATAAGGTACCTGGATACATGCCTACACTTAAACCTTTTCAGGCTTAGAAGCTCCGGAAGAGACCCCCACCTAAGCTTCATCATCGATTATCGATAAGAAAGAATGATGACGTAGATAGCTCTCTTTGCTCGACAATTGAATATGGGGACATGACGGCATTGACGGTTCTCTGATGTCAAACTGCGTTTTAATGCCTGTCCGTCTTAGAAACCTCATAGACGCGTATGTATGTAATCCTCGATCTTACGCATATCTAGGACGTTCCGAGTTGTATTTAACTCCTTCTTCGACGTTGTCTAGTTTTCCAACCTTCTAAACCCTAAAGATTCATCAACTCACAATCTATCAATTACACTGATCACTATAAGTTGTACGGAACTAAGCTCCCAATCCCCCCTTCATATAGCCCAGTCTATTAACGTCTGATCAGATTCACTAAACCAAACTTAATTCTCAACATCATACACAATGTCCTCTGCATCAAACGAAGGCCGCGAATCTCCTCCCCCTGAGAGCCAGAGTGGCCGACAGTTACAGGAGACACCCGCCTCGGGACAAGGCACAGATGAAGCTCCCAACAAGAAGGAAGCCATGCAAGACCAACTAAGCGTAAGTAAAAAGTAACCTCTAATCATTATACACCTAGAATCAGGCTAACATATATAATTATGTAGAACCTAACCTCAAACCCCAAGGGACCCCTCGAGGATGCAGTCACGGAGAAATTTAGTAAAACTACAAAGCCATCGTAAAGGAGCTGGATTTAGTATGAGGGATATTTAGGATTGTATAGCAAGCAACGCGTTATTTTATAGAGATGGGATATTAGATTACGAATATGTACGGCATAGTTTAACACATTCGCCGTGATCTTACCTGATTAAATGAAATCATTTCTTCCATAACTCCATCAAATCATCAACTCGTGCTTTCACTATAATCATAATTCATTCATGGAATTATTTTGGGTACCTAAGTTATGAGAACATTATTCAACTTAGTATACATAAGCCATAATGACATACTTAGGTGTAATACGCTGCTTACACAGGTCGTAACCAAAATAAATAGAAAACCAGGTCAATTGGTAAATCACAGAAGACACTTCACCACAAGTAACGTAAGGATGGGAATAATTGTTCGATTATGAAAATGTAGTATAGACAAGACAATCAAGCTGCCATACCCGATTAATATAAAGCTACACTAAACCCAGTATCCGAGACATAGTAATTCGTAACGGCATCAGATTGCTCACATCCTATCTCTTTATGCCTTCTCATCTCCAGGCACCTTCGAGGGAATAGGACCCGTTGTGCTCAGAGGGGTTGATTCCTCCGTGCCAGCCTTCGGGCCGGGTGCAGGGACTGAAGCTAAACGTCATTTGTTAGCCGCAGGTTCGTCGCAACTATTGATACGCATTAAATCAAAGTACTTACATGGGTCCGTCGCCGCGCTGGCATTGCCGGAAGAAGTTGGCTGTGCTGTCTGTGCCTTCTCCTTGCCGAAGACTCTCTCAAGCCCCGAGGCTTTGTATGCAGAGCCACCATGCTCCTCCTTCTTGAGATCAGCTAGACGGCGCGCCTCGGCATGGATGTCTTGCACTTGACGCTGGCCTTCAGTGTAAAACTTAACCAGCTCTTGCCATAGGGGAGCTTGTCGCTTTCTCGAAGTACGAGCTGAGGCTGCCACTAAAGGACTATTGGCCCGGTCGGATACCGTGATTGAATGTTGATCAGTTGCTTTGGCACGTTCGGTAGCGTGGTACTTCTGGTCGAGGTTCATTAAGGTGTTCATGAAACGGTTGGTAACGCCCGTGCGTGTGATCAAGCTCAATCGCACGCTGGAGAGCAGCATCGCCCACGACGTAACCATGAGCAAGGTACTCAGCCAAGATACGACTTCTTGGTTTCTCTTCCTGAGTAATCTCATCGGTATCTCGGTCGGCATTAGTGGTATGAGGGGTACCATCATCGACTTGACCATCGGCGGGAATTACAGAAATCTGCGATCCTTTGAGTTGAGTATTGTTTAGGAGCTGTGCAGTCTTAGCGGCAGTCTCCTTCTCGAAGGTGACGCTGGCATCTTTCGTATTGCCTTCGCCCGGTGTGACCTTAATCTCAGTGATCTTGCCACTATTTGATAAGAGTTAGTAGACAGTAGTAACGTGAGATAATTATTTATAAACCCTACCAGAAGCTGAAGAAGTCCCTAACTTCGTTGTCGCTCGCGTCTGCGCTAATATTCTTCACCAGAACAGTGAGGTTAGAAGCCATGATGATGGATGGAATGATAGATTGAGGGGTAATATAGTATATGGGTATGAAGAAATTATAGAGTCCAATGTAGAAATATAAGGTAACTTAGGAAGAATGAAGATGTAATTTGGAAATTGGAAATATTGAATGTGACAAAGTTGGAGGCCTAAGTTAAAACGTTTGACCGCGTGCGACTTCTTAATTAATCATTTAAATCAACACCTGATTCTAACCTTTGCTGTGGATGTGTCACAAGCTTGTATCAGTATTAGATATTTCCATGCCTTTCCCCCATAAAGGCGCTAACGGAAGAACGAGGGGCAACATACACGTCATTCCATTAGACCAAGAGCTCTTCTCCTGTGGCTGTGGGACAAGGATTTGGCAAGATACCAAGGTACGTACCTAGGTGCCCATAGATTACCTACTAAGGTACTTCGTTAGGTCAATGTTCAATGTTCAATGTTCACATCTGCCTAAACTCTCATGACGATTACATATACATGTATGGAGGCGAGAGAATAATAAACCCTTAACTTACCTAAGTTAACTTACCAAGTACCTAATAACAATAATTCGTTCAACATGAGTTTAATAGTAAATGATTTCAACTACAAGCAGATTCATTACCTAAATCATCCGCGCGTAGCATTACAACACAGATTCGAAATGGCATCCAATAGCGAGCTGATTATGTCACAAGGTGGCTGTATTAGGCATCTCTATCACTTGGAGCCTTGTTGACCTTATCTCCATACAATACTCTACTATTGCAATTTTATGGTGTCGCCAATATAAGTCAAAATGGCAGAAGCGATCGCGACGCTAAGTCTTGTTTGCAATATGATGCAGGTAATCTCATTTTCTGGAGAAGTTTTCAGGCTCTACCACAACCATGAGAGATCACTCACCAGACTCGAGCCTTGCATCTAACACTGCGCATCTATCAGCGCTTGTAGAAACGTTGCAAGAAAAATTCAGGGACTATAATCCCATTTATTCCAATACTAGAGATGAATTAGAAGGGTTAGAGCAACAAGCAAAGACAAGGCTCCAGAGCCTAACATCTGACTTGGTTAGAGACACTAAAGAACTACAAAAGCTACTCGAGAAGGTCACGACAACCGCTTCCGCAGGGAAGCTTGACAGTCTCAGAACAGTCATAAAGTTCAAGTTTCGCTATAATTCCAAGATTTCCTCACTAGAAAGGAGAATCAACGGCACGCGGAGCGTCATGGACTCGGAACTCCTGAGCAGAATATGGTAGATATCAAACATTCGCTCCGATAACTTAGGTACCTATCGTATTAACAATTCATACAGTTCGTCGACGCAGGCAAGCCATTGTCTCTATGAAGATATGTACTCAAATCTTCACGACGATATAAAGCAGTTTATTGACCGCTGGTCTAATGGGGAAAGGACCATATCAAGACTACTTGTTAGCGAGGCACAGAAAACTAGGGTCCACGTCACAGCAGAGTCGAAAAATATACGAAATAAAATAGATGCGATAGATTTCAGGTTGCTGTCCGAGTCGACGCAGCGCAATCTCGAAGAACTGAGGAAAAGGATTCTTTCCACGTTATGGTTCCCTGAGATGAATCAACGAGAGAACACTATTAAAGAGGCTTCAGATGATGTCGTATTTAAGATCTTCCCAGACTCAAATTTTGTGGATTGGCTTCGATCAGATACATCAGACAAGCCGATATTCTGGATTAGCGGCAAGCCGGGAAGTGGCAAAAGTACATTGACAAAGTATCTCATACACAGTAGCCAGACGATTGAATACCTTCGTACATGGGATCCCTCGGTAAAGATATTTCATTTCTATTTCTACGCGCTAGGACAAAACCCTCTACAAAAACAGCTTCGGGGTTGTTTGCGCACTCTCCTACACCAGATTATTACCGAAAATCCTAATACCTTGATCCGGTTACTTGAAGGCCGGCCAGAGGTAAAAAGGAAAGCGTCGGAACACGATTGGTCTCATCAAGAACTTCTTGATGCTTTATCAACATGTTTACGTGACGTAGCCTATACGTCTTGCCTGTTCCTTGACGGGCTTGATGAAATCCAAGATGACGAGAGAGTACAGATTATTGAATTAGTGGAACTTTTCAAGGACATCCCAAGCGTGAAAACCTGTGTGACAAGTCGCCCAGAGAGATTGTTTGTGCAGAATCTAGGACAGCGCCCATATCTTCGAGTTCAGGATCTCACTGAACAAGCCATACGTTCATACGTCGAAAATGCCTTGGGAAAATATGAAGGTGCTTGTGAGGTGTCTGAATCGGGCGACCATAGCCTTCTGGAGAACATCGTAAAAAAGTCGGAAGGAGTATTCCTATGGGTAGCCATGACACTCAAGGATCTCATTAAAGGAATAGAGAAGCACGGAGACTCTTGGGAGTTGTTGAAGCAACGAATAGAAATGTACCCCCCTAATCTTGACGAATTATACGAGCAAATGTGGACCAGGCAGAACCAGGACCTACCAACCCATAAACGAGAAGCAGCGATACTATTTCGATCCGTTTTAGAACAGCAGCCACCCGATTCACCCCTTTTGGTTTCTCTGTTAACTAACCACCAGGCTCTCCGGAGCGAATTGCAGCGGCTCATAGTTAACAATGGTTTCTGGAGCTTCGAAGACGCGAAGCACATTCGCAAAGAATTTGAAACATGGCTCTGCGCAAGAAGCGCTGGTCTCCTCGAGATATCCAGTAAAATGAGGCACACGGAATTTTGGATAAATGGTATCGATACATCTAGTTTTGATAACTACTTTGTTACCTTCATTCATCGATCAGTTTGCGAATTTCTTACGGAAACAGAATGCGGTCAGGATATTATGAGTTATGACGATAGGCCAATTATGGCAAGGTACCTTGCGTATCCTAATGCCGCCAGAGGAGCGGCATATGTCCTTGCTGCTCAGGCTCCGGAATATTACTTAAGTAATCCTACTAAATCCCAACAGGTATCACGGATCTACAATCTTTTAGAATCGTCGGGCAGTGAAGGACAAAAGAGCTATCGTGAATGGATGCCACCGCCGAATATTAATCATATATTCCTTCAAATCATCGTACTGGTCAACTCTAAGCTAGGCAACATGGAAGTCCTTGACGAAATCCATCAGAAGGATAGAAAGTTCGAGAGCCTTTCCATAGAAGAAAGGGGTGTGATTCTTTTCGAATGCTATCGGCATATCGGAATTGCTTTGGACCTGGATATATCCAAGCACAAACACAACACGAATAAACAGGATATAAGCATAATTCGGGTCCAGAATATGGAATGGATTGAGAGGAGATGGAAATTCTGGCTCACGCTTCTTCAACGTCAAATGGACTGCGTCAAATGGCTGCTTATACATGACTCGGATCCGCATTTGATTATGAAAGGAGACGATACTATTGAACGTGATCTCTCTTGGTTGGCCAACAATCTCTATTATATTCGCCCTACCACGTTCCAATTATTTCACCTTAAAATGTTCACCAATTGCCGCGAAGTCCTTGTAACGGGAGGTAGACTAAATCCACCCCCAAGGAAGCAAATGAAAGCATACATAACGCGTATAATGGGATTCGTCCGTATATTCAACGAATATAATAATGGCGAGCAAAGAATCAATATGGGTTATGCAGATTATTCCACCCCGCTCATCTGTGAAGTTGAATTTTCAGTGAACATTGCTTGGTTCTTGGAAGTCATTAACATAGCTGCTGGTCTCGACGGGCTGGCCGATCTACCAAGCAGAATTACTGAGTCAGTCGATATTCAAACTCATTCTGTTAGGATTCACCAAAAGGGAATTTTGCAGCCATGTACAGAGAAGATCAGAACGAGGCTTACTGCAAAGTTGATTACTTTAATGCCCAGCTATTTCCTAAACTTAGTTGAACAGGATGAAGTCTCTCGTATCCTGGGGGAAATCATTAGGGATGCTGAATTAACTTCAGCATCAGAGGGCGATGATGCGAACGAGGAATCGGATCATGTTGATGCCTTACCTTTACTACCTCTAGGTACTTAGCGGAACCATCGTCTAAAGGAGTTGTTCTTATTATGCATAAATACGCTATTATGCATCAAAAGCATGCTATAATTATCGTCAAGTCCCCCTCAGCGCGTTCTGAATTCACTTTGACGCGTCTTTTCCTACATTTATACCTATTATTGGCGTTTCCTACTCCAGCCTAGTTAATAGAGGAATAATCTAGACTTGGCGTACTTCCAGCTCATCGTGGTATTTGTAACACCTTCTTTGCTTCTGCCAGAGTGTTTTCAATAGAAAAATCGAACAGATAAATGCGCCTAACCCTGCCAGACTAATTGCAGTGTATAAAGCAGCCCGGTACCCTTTCAACTTACTTTCTATAGACTGATCACCTCTAGTTACATAGGCTTCCACAGTTCTGGCGATCCCTAAACCAATCGAAATACTATAGTTCATCACGGTACTAACCAAGCTCGCCGCAGTACCTTGATGTTTCCTCTCGACTGCATTTGATAAAACCAGCATTGCGGCCGGAAACCCTGTATCCATTGCCCAAGAGATAATTAGCACGGAAAAGAATAACTGAGTCCAATAAATTTGCACGACAGGCATAGTAGCAATAAGCGCAGACCCTAGAGTGAACCCTAAGAGTGAGATGAATACGACAATAGACGGCCCTAATCGTTGGAGGATAAAGCCTGTTGATACCGTTGCTAAACAACCGACAACAATACACGGGGTAACATATGCCGTAGCCTCAAATACCATAAGAGTCAGCCAAGTTATACAGTTGTAAGATGTGTCTAAACATACCAAAAGCGGAGGAGCCCCACGAATATTCTCGACAAATTGCCAAGTATATGATGCCCAAATTCCGAAACATGACCAGCCACAAGCGCCTACAACTAGAATGAAAGATACGTCGGATGAAAGTGCGTAGAATGGAATAAGTGGCTTAGGGGCATAATAAGATTCGATCAGCGCGAATAGTATTGCAAGTAGAATACCGACGATTAGAGCGATCCAGAGATATGGTTCTTGCCATCCGACAAGAGGGGCCTGATTCCACGCAAAACCTATCAGTACGAGAGCTGACACTCCCGCGATTGCTCCTGGTATATCGAGGTCGGACATTACAGCGCGAAGATTAGCAGGTGTCTCGCCCTTTGAGGTAGATATATTAGGGATAGTAAAACACCCTATTCCAGCGATGATGAGAAGTGTGGCAGCAAAGACCCAGTATGTCAACGGCCACCAAGCCAGCGCGAATAGACTTGCGCTTCCCGCCCCAATCATGATCCCCACGGGTGTCATAGTGGCAACAAGGGTGAAGACCATGGCTTTCTGCTTTCCAGGCGGGTATGCTATTCCTAGAAGTGCAAGACCATTTGGAAGCGAGAGAGCAGCGCCTAGGCCATGGAACACTCGAGAGGCCATGAATAAGACGTGAGTTGAATATACCGCTGTCCCCGAAATAGCAGACCAAACAGCCGACCAAACAAATCCGGCGAGAAACATTCGCTTATATCCATATGTGTCACCTAATCTGCCTGCTATCAAGATGAAGGTACCGATCGCCAAGCTATACCCAGCAAGAACCCAGATCAGATCGCTGGTGTTGAAGATGCCGAAAGTGATCCCTATTTCGCGGAGAATTGCTAGCGTTTGGCCGATACCTGCTTCTATAGCTTGTATTAACCAGCGCCATGTGATAATTGTTTAGATTTTCAACTCACGAGCACACAACTGGGATGTACATATCGTCGAGACGAACAAGCCTATATGTATTCTCGACATTTCACTAGCTATATAACTCGAATTTTTAGGAACCCGCGGCGGAGGTTTCGTTCCGAGTGGCATCGGCCAGGATATCTCCTCGATGGCCCGAAGCCCTGAGCATCTGACGCTCGCATGCCCCCGCTGCTGCCTTGCAAGACTATATGCCCGCGGAATAGGTGGTAGGGATTTGTCACGATATCCTAATCGCCGAGACCCCATGGATAGTGGAGAGCGAACCGCATTGGAGGACCCTGAGCTTGGAAGATGATCCTCATCGCTGCTAATCGAAAATCTAGACTGGCGTTCCGGAGAATGAGTCGTCGCGGCGACCTCAGGCGGTGTATGAATGTCGCTTGGACGACGAAGGATAACCTCGTGGGTCGTTTCATAGCTCCAAAACGAGCTTCCGAAAAGAGAGTCGGTGAACGACATAACTACATGGGATTATGTGCGGGTAAATTATGTGCGATAACCGGTAGCTATAACATACGGCACGCAGGCGCGAGAGCCCATGATCTTCCGATATTTAACGACTCTAGGTCTCTACCCATAACCACATAGTCATCATTTGAGCATGCTCGTGGAATATACCTGGGGATATCCGCTTGTGGTGTGCTAGTTGACTTCATACTATAACAAGAGGTCAAGGGTGCTCTCTGTAGAGGGTGCTATCAAGCCATCGTAGGTTCTTATCCTGCGGTTTCGTAGCTACGTGCTAGACTTATTTCTTACATTTTGGAATGGCGTGTTAATGGCCTGGGCGATGAGATCGGGATTAGTCAAACCAGGGATGATCGATTAGATCACCTATCAGCAACTGGTGATGCGTTCCTACTTAGCCGAGTCGGTACCGGCGCATATATCTACGATTGTTGAATCATGAGTAGAAAGTTCACCATCATCATTCGAATGTCCAAAGGTGTATAGATGGTAAAGGGTGCTTTTGCCCATCTTCTGAATGGTGTGAAGTCTGGCGATCCTTCGGAACCTCGAGCGGATAAGCTACCAATTCTGATTGGCTCTTAACCAGGTTTGACGTCTGAATTTGGTAATTGGTAGCTTGTGCCCACCCTCTGCCCCTACAAAATGCCGAGATCCCTTTTCGAGGATTAACTACGTTGCGATGTAATAATATCTCTTTCATCCGGTTCACTTCATAACGCCTTCCAAAGGGGTTAAGGATGGTATTTCGCAACAGCACATCTATATTATGTGAGTTTAACTTTACTCACGAAATCACCACATATAGGTTTGGCCCCTAAATAAAGCATACCCAGAATCCAAACAATGGTGTATACTAAGCTACCGAGCAAGTTTTAACGAACGCTTGTTAAAGGGGCTGAAATATCCGATATATAGTTTAGATCAAATCTTGAATATTCATATAAACTCGTATAGTATGTATGAGGCGAAGAATTACATGGTCGGCTATCAGATGACGGACGTAACGGAGATAATAATTCGAATCAACATAGGAACTATAGGATTTGGAGAACACTGAAGCATAGAGAAAGCGCCTCGGCTCCGTTCGGTCATGGAAGATGGCTGTCATTAAATCGTTTAAATAAAGCTTCAATACGTCCTACCTAGACGTAGCAATCATTCAGACAAACAGTAACGCACCTTAACCAAGTCCGACAGGTTTCCATAGGCCTTTGCCAATAATAGGAAGTCGGTTTACCCCCTAAGAGGCCGAAATATGATTTGCTCGATCAAACCTTATACCAAATTCTATAGCAAGCTACTGACGAGTCGAAACAGCTTCAATAATCATGGCAGCTCCAGATGAATCTTACTTTGCAGCCTTTCCATCAAAGCCGAAGCCTTATATTTCCTACGGCTTGACATTTGAAAAGGCTTGTGCTCACCATGCCGAGAACACGTTCCATGCCTCGCACATTTACGTCGTTGTGTCCAAGTCTATTAGCAAGACCGAGGCCTTCACGGCCCTTCAGACAGCCCTCGCCAACAAGATTGTTGGAGTTCGCTACGGCATTCTTCCACATACACCATTAGAGGATGTGCTAGCGCTAGCTGATGATCTGAATGCGAAGAGCCCGGATGTTATCATTACCCTTGGGGCGGGGTCAATCTCAGATGGTGTCAAGCTAGCTCGCCTCTTCGCAGCGAACGGGGTATCGGACACGCAGAGAGCCTACGATATCTTCAACAAATGTACCGTAGATCTCGCTAACGTAGTCACGACCGCCGCAGGCGTTAAGCCGGCGACTATTCCCGTTATTAATGTGCCGACGACCCTGTCTGCCGGTGAATTTACTCCGTTCGGCGCGGCGACAAATATGCAGACATTCGAAAAGAGGAACCTGATCCACGAGTCCGTAATAGCCGACATCGTAGTCTTAGACCCCACGTTAACAGTGTCGACGCCAGCGCGCTTCTGGCTTTCCACCGGAGTCCGAGCAGTCGACCATTGCACCGAAGGTCTATATGCCAATTTACCTCACGCGAGCCCGGAGTTGACCGCCGAACTTTCAACGCCCTCCGGGACCTGCTGGTAGGCTTGCTGAAGACAAAACAGAAGTGGGATGATTTCGACGCGCGCTTACAAACACAACTCGCGCTCAAGACTGCTGTTCAAAACTTATCCTGCGGTATGGGAGCTAGCGTACGTAGCTTTGAGGATTTGCCTTACCCCTATTCAGTCCACACTAAAGCACAGTGTATCATAACTGAGCCATGATTCTCAATTCACACCCCAGACTCCAAGACTACTAGTTTAAAGCAACTACTAATTTACGACACAGCATGGTATAGGACACCAGCTTGGTCCGATGGGTGTAGGGCACGGCGAGACAAGCTGCATTATTCTTCCGTGTGTGATGAAGTACAACTGGGACCACGGCGACGGAAAAGTTCGAGACTCCCTCCGAATGGTAGCATCAGCGTTCTGGGACGAGCCAGCCGTTGTCGAGGCCCTCGGTTTAAAGGCAGCGGATAGGGACTCCACTAACCCGGGAGACCTGATGGCAGCATTCATCAGCGCCCTAGGATTGCCGCGGAGCCTGAGCCAATTCATATCGGAAGCGATATGTTTGATCTCCTAGCGGAGAACTCTTTGACTGATCCGTGTGTACTTGTCAACCCAGTGAAGCTTGACAAAGAGAAGATCATCGAGATACTTCAGATGGCGGCCTAAGGGGGCAAGGGTCTATTGCCTATACATCTGTTATGGGCTATTTGTAGCTTTATCTTTTCACCTCTTAGACGACTACAGTCTTAAAGAACCGTATATCCGTAATGTTGGTCTAGTATGACTTTCAAGTAAGGTTTAAGTAACTTGAAAGTGAAATTATAGGTCTTGAAAACATTGATACACACATATAATCAACTACCTAGGTACCTGTTGTACGCTTATCTTTATATCTAAAGGGGCGATTGTTTACTATTAACTATTCAAACGAGGACATTACAGTTAACAGAACTTTATAGTGGTATACGATCAGACAGCAAGCTAGGTAAAAGGCAAATCCAGGTATATTCCTCTACAAGACTTGGGTCAGAATTAAACCATATAAACTTATAAGTCGGCGTAATATTCAGAAAGCCTCAGTGACACGATAAAGAGTTCTAGTTTAGTTCATTCAGTAATAAATATATTAACTAAATATATATCTGTTATGCATATTACTCAGCATAAACCCCTTATAGATCCTGTGTCAACCCAAATACCCCTTTTTGTCTCGTTTATATTAAGGAAGTGAACTTCACGTTTGCGAGCTAGAATAGCATTTTGTGATCATCTAACTCGTGTGAGCATGGGATACTTTACATGATCGATACTAGGCAACTTACACATCATTTAAAATCTTTACATCACATTCACGCCAGTGTTGAAGGGCCAGCAGTCTATGAAACACTACCAAATTCTTCACTGATATAGAACAGGGATGAATCATACACACGATAGAGAAGGAGATATTACTTGTGTACTCCTGTGTTTCCTTAAAAATGATTCATTATTATCACTATCTCGGTGTGTCCAGTGAAGGGCATGGCAGGAACATCGCCAGGGTGCCGAAGCCTATACTTGGACATTGTTCATCTTCGAAAGAGTCATTCGATCTAGGGCGTCTAATAACCCCCAATGCGCCAACCGGTTGCCTCACGAAGGGATTATTGCTCACCACCTACCTTTATTCCTCAGTTAGGCTCATGTCGCGCCCAAGGCTACTGGTAGGCAGTAGAACTACGCGCGGCGGATCGCATAGTAACTATCGGTACAGATACGTAGTGGCAAGAAGCTCATCTCGGCGGAGTTCACATGGATAGATATTTGGCCTTGGGTAGATATGCGAGCAAGAGAATAAGTGCACAGCCACCTCCAGATGTCCGGCGCTTGTGTAAAGCTAGATGGCCCAGTATGTCAGCACTGTCAACCTCCACGATAGATCATCTGATACCATCGACTTCAGGATACCGAAGGCTGGGGGGCGTGGACGTAGGAGAGTAGTGATCCGTGTGACTCATAAAGGCTGTAGCAATTTAGTCATCGTTGATTGGTTGCACAACACGGGCTGGTGTGGTTTCACCCACGAAAATGCCTATCTTGGGGTTCGATGTGCGAATGGGGGGCTTCTTATGGCTGTTTTGTACAACCGGATTTAGAATCGTGTAACTATTTGGGGTCTGGACAGCGGACCGCAGCCTCGCGGAAATCTAGATAGCCGGCGTGAGGCGGGACAAGTAGGCTGACGTGTGACGCCGGCGTGGGGTGGATGAGCAATACTGAGATGAGACGTTTGATAGGCTCAAGTTAGGCGCGTAGTAAGAAACGGTCGCCATTGCGATATATATGAAATGCAACACTGAGGCTCGTCTATCTTCGCCCCCGTTACGTCGTAGCGAGAAAGGGATGGAATGGAATATTGCGAGGCTGCTGCCTGTTCAGCACCAACGTGAATACATCCATGGCTTCCTAATGGCGAAATTCACAGCTGGGTTTAGCCAATGTTTCAGTGTTCCCAGCATATTAGTCGTCACAGTCGTCAGCGGTATTGTCCCTATCACTGTCGTAATATAGGACTACGTTTAGTACGTATTTAGAATAGTTAGAGTAGTTAGAGTCACCAGGGTAGTGGCAGTATTGTGTGGGATTTCGGACTTTTTTCCTTTGATTTGGTGGGCTTCCGAAGCTCGGGTGCTCACTTCGACGTCGAACGAATCGAGTCCGTATGCGGTGAGTCACTGCCCAAAACTTATGAAACTTGATTGATAGACAGGGAATATGGAGGAGCTAGCGCCTCACGGTATCCAGTCCCAACTATAAGCAGTATGTCGTATTGCGTAGAAAATGACGGTGAAGAACTGGAGTGGGCGATCGTCGGACTTACAAAAACTACATCGTAACAGCCGCCGGAGGTGTGCGACTATTGTTTTCTATTCCTTAGACCAGGCGCTTACTATCATTATCCGCGTCAGACTTAATCATAATGGCTTTCTCGCCCCGCGGACTACTAATCTCTCCGTTTTCATCGTGGGTTATGATTTGTTCCGGGTTACCTCACTCTTCGGGAAAACACAGATACCCGTGCCGTCGGATAGCATGGCAATGAATCTATGGTGCCGGTGATTCCGCGCAAGCGTAGATAGACGATAGACAGAGAGACAGAGAGACAGAGAGACAGAGAGACAGAGAGACAGAGAGACAGAGAGACAGAGAGACAGAGAGACAGAGAGACAACGGATGGGGTTCGATGGGCGTCGAAATATAGTTGGGCGTATATCACGACCGACGAAGAGCGAGGCGGAGATCGAAAAGGGTAATGTTCCGGAACGAAGTGGAGCGGTGTGTGAGGACCAGTTTAGAGGGTTAATATCTCGTCACATGCCAGGGCCTAGACCTGATAGACATAACAGGACAATATAGCAGCACAGCCACGATAGAAGCGCGCAATGCTCTGTGCATTCGTCTGGGTTTGAAGAGTGACACGTCAACGCATACGGCATACCCAGGCTTCTGGGTCGCGGTATCTAGAAATCCCGACATGAACATCGTAGGTAACGATGTGGCCTAAGGCATACATTTGTGGCCTGCTTGCCGTATGACCGTGCTGTGTGATACTTAGGATAGCAGGCGACGCCGGGCAGTGCGAGAGGTGGTATCAAATGAAAGACATAGGCCGGCGTGCTGTCCCAATAATCTAGCTACTCGTATGTATTATTATCCGTATAGCCTCGTAGGATGATTCCCTTCGTACTGCGCACGCCTGATGAATTAAGTTCCCAAACATAACATTGGCTAGGCGCGCGAAGGGAGATATGTAGAGGTACAGTCCTACGCAACCTTGAAAGGCATTTTGCGATTTGGCAGATAATAACGGCATTCTTATAATCTCGATGTGTGAGACAATGTCGAATCAAAATCTCGGAGGCCTACGAAAGGGGGGCCAGGTGAGCGACGACAGGGGTACTATGTATGGATCGAACAACGCATAGCGATAGACAACAAGATTCATATCACGAAATATTCTGGTTAGGGAAAATGAATACCGCCCATTTCTCCATCACATACCAACACGTGCGCCAAAAGCCCTACTTATGGTTGGAGTACCATCTTCGCGCCCTCTGATGGTGGTGTCGCTATAGTCCTGATAGGTTCAAAACAATACCTTTTCTAACCCCCTAAGAGCCATTACGGCGTCTTCTGTGGATTATATGTATCGAATTTGTAAGGAATGGAGAACAAATATGCAATTCGAAGCCGCTGTTCTACATTCGCTCCCCTTTTCGTCTCCTTCCAGAAGGTCAAAAGAGAGGGGCAGAGGGTCGTCATCACACCAATATAAAATACAAAAAAAAATATTTATTTCATTTTGTGCGCTTCGTCTACGTCACCGAGACAACTTGAACCGGGGCGGTACCTGCGAGCTGCATGTAAGGCATGGGTAAAAGACTCCGAATATTCCTGCAGAGACTATCCTGCAGAGACATGCTGTCTACTTCTCAGTAAGAGTCGGTGAGTGGTAGAAATGAGGGGGATCTGCTTCGTGATCGTGCCAGAGTCGTTTAAGTCGTCTGGGTCGTCTGGGTCGTCCGGGTTGGGTCTCTTGTCCTGGTCGAGCTCTTGTGTTTGTTTTGTTGAAAAGTTGGTGGAGTAAAGACGCTATTCAACAAAGTGGCTATGATATTGGCTGCTGGGTGCGGAGATAGAAAAAGGATTACCACGATAAAAATACCATGTAGATAGACCAGGTGGCTTAAACGGGATGTTGACCTCTAAAGGGCTTTATACATCCCTGCCAGCCCCAATCGGGATATGCACAGCTGCAGGAAGTGTGGTCTTAAGCCGGGTCCCCATTGACCAAACAATTTACAAGGCCCGTTCAGCTTACAGACATTGGACATCATTGCAGCCAGAGATTTTGTTCGTAGGGCATTAGGACATAAACGTACATGACGTCTACTCGTATGAGTCACAGCTGATACTAAGCCGATGGTATCAGAGAGAAGTATCCATTTCTGTCATTCTATCATATCCCTTTTCCATGTGTACTTGATCATGTACTTTTTGCATTGCATGTCTTGCAATGAAGGGAGTAAAATGAAATATTTGGAAATAAAAAAATTTTCCCCTCCAGTGTCGTATCGAGAAATGAGAAAGTGGATTGGCTTATTATCCAAGACCGGGTGCGGGACAAAGCAAAAATAATGTACACCCAAAATAAGGGTGCAGGTCTAGAAAAAAACGACCAGGGGATTGCTAAGGTGTGGCCGGTGAATGCAGCCGTGTACGGGGAGCAGGTAATCTCTGTTCCGTCTATGCTGCTACATAGGTGTATGTATGTATGGATCCATGGGCCAAGACGAGAGGAAGACTGGTACAAGAATAATCCATGGCGTCCGTAGCCTGTAGTCCGTGTAGGTCCGTGTAGCCCTTGTAGCCCATGTAAGCATATACCTCCACTAGATACTTCTGCTCATGGCTGCATGGATTTTAGAAGCATAGTGCACTGGATTGACCCGCGGCAGTGGGTGTAATCTCCGCTGAGTCGATAGCTCCAGAACATCTGCGGCTTGAATCGTGGCCTAGGACAGTCTCTCTCATACTGTACGGAGAATATGAAATCGTAGTGTAAAACCATTCATCCCCCAATAGTGGTGCTTTGCCGGGGCAGAAGCATTAGCACCTGTCAGCCGAACCGGGCCGGGCTCCTAGCCCTTTAAATTAGAGAGCTGACCACCTATGGGTAGCCTAGAACTACTATAGTAAGTGATCTGAGTCCACTCTTATGTCTAAGTGGCTTGTTCTCTCTCATCTTTGTCGTCGTACGAAGTAGGACCCTGGGGTAATAATAAGTGCGAGACTTGTCGCACAGAATCCCACCGTTTCGAATTATTGGTTCATCGCATGACGAAGTGTACCGATCCCAACAGTGATGCATTAGACTATTGGTGAGGTTTCTGTTTGGTGGCTGAAAAGATTGTCTGGTTTGTTCGTGGTTCCGAAATGTCTAGGTTAAGCGCCTCGGTATCATGTTTGATGTGATTGTCCTCGGGAGGATCTTTTGCCATGAACATGAGCCGAAGCCTTAATTCGGTATCAATAGGACATAGATAGGCAAGATCAGATTATCTTGAGGCGTCGAGCTGAGGGAATAAGGCCGAAACGGGGTAACTCGTAAACGGGTTAACCAACCACCCCGACGTCTCCCCCCCTTGCCTTTTGCCTGCTTGCTTACACCGAGAAGGACATAAGGGTGTGAGGCAAAGCTGTGCGTCGTAATACAGGTAACCTACAACGGAACACTGAAGAGGAACAGGACTATGCTTTTGATAGGTACTCGATAGATCATACAGACGGGGCAATTCAAGTGGAACGGAGGCTGAACGTCCTTGAAGAACCAAACGAATTGCGATTCTGGCTGGCCCAAATTGAGATCCGGGGGCGAGTCCTGCATAGACAATATTTCAACAGTGTTGGTTGTCTAGTTGTCTACCATTTAGCTTCTTCGGCCCAAACTACGCGTAGTAATACACGCATACATTCAGCAGGTAATTAATATCGAGGTAGCGATCTATGTAGCAATCTATAGATTGTTTGCTTGTAACAATAGGCCTCCGGCTAGTTGATTCGTACGGATTATTCCCGTCATTCAGGTCACTCAGGTCACTCGGGTCACTCAACACCAAATCTTACACTTCGAGATATAATAAAGCAAGATTAAGTTTGCGCATATGAAATACCGCCAATAACGACTCATAGCAGATCTAGAGGCATTTATAGCCTGTCATCGATATCATACGTACATGACAACAGGAGAAGTGATTGGAGAATAGAGGGGTGAGAGGGCCTTATGCTGCGACCTCCCACGTTTTTACCTCCTTGTCTTTTTCCCCCGCCATGCACTATGCACGGGGGTGCAGATGACCCTCTTTACAGCGAACTATCATCGGTTGGGAGTTCTCTGACTTAATCCATATTGGTCCTTTCACGACGCTAGATGTAAATCACGCTCATCGGATGACGCATCGAGAAAATCCTTGATGGTTACCTTTTAGATATGTTTAGTTCCTGTAAATCTCTATCTTGTAAATCTATGAAAGAAATTCAGTTTTCGGGGTTGTATCAAGGATGGAAGCGCCGGATGATACTCTATATTTCTGAATGGGTGTGTAAGACTCTACAAACCCTCCAATACAATCTATTACGTTCCACGCCACTGAGGAATAAACCCGGCGAGATGCGAGTTTGCCGAGGTGAAGAGGCAAAAGAACAGTCAGCACAAGCCAACTGTCCTTGAAAGAGATTATACCTGGTTACATATAAGGTATGTAAGTTTTTTCTACAACTATAGTTAGATGAGACCTAGTATAAGTATAATTGAGTATAAATGTATTGATTACGAGATCTTATCCTTCCGTATTGATGAATTGTGTCCTTTAACGTATAACGTATATCATAAATCGAAGCTAAAAAGGCAGGCTATTTGAAGGCTAAATCTGGTAGGTGGGGGGGATTGTCACTCTTACAACTATTCTTAGGTATGCAAGAGGGCTGGTGATGAGAGATGCAGTAGCATTATACTCCAATAATGGGTATAGGCAAATACATTTTTGGCTACCTCATATGTAAGTTAGTATGTAATCCGTATGCACAATCGGCCCTAGGCTTGTACCCGCACCTGCCTGCCCACTTCCCCGCGCGGGAACTACTCCAATGCTATCGTACTACATTATAGAAATCACTCTAGAGAGAATTTACCTTGGGCCTTGGGTAGGCAGCTGCTTCCCATCTCTTTTGATCTTAACTTACTATATCTCCTCGGCACCACCCGAATCTTATTCTAGACTTAACCTTCTTTTTTTTCACCTAACCTTTCCAACCCGCATAATAATAGTGCGAGAACTAATCCCGTTCTCACCTATTTCCGTTTTATCTTCAAATTATCTAAATCAATGCGCTGCGACAATTGAGGGGAATAGACCATTCTCCCCCACTATTCCGGGAACATATTTCGACCAGTTCGCATACCGGCCAAAGCTTCCGTCCCTCCGTACATATGCTGTCGGCACCGTTGGAGTCCCGCGGCCGGATTGTGCGATACCTACGTGAAAAGGCATCTGATTGAACCTAATCATTATTACTCATCCGACGTCGTTTGACAAAGAAGGATCATAAACCCTCGGTGTGTATCCAATCTGGAGCATTAGGATCGTGTCATCTACCGCATCTGTCAAACAGACAAGCTTACAACTCGACTCCCTCTTCCACTAGGATTAACACGGATCTTCTACAATTCTGTTTCTTTCTGGTTTAATTTAACTAAAGGAACTGAAAATTTTCTAATCGGATCTAACACGGCCTACCATCTCCTTTACAAAACGCCCAGAGAGAGCGATATCTCTGATTTTCGCCGCATTAATCTCTATTGCGCCTCAATCTCTAAACGGGGGCCCGGGGATTTGAAATCTCTGTCGATGGATCCTTGATGATCCTTGACTTTGGAAAATTTTCAAGTTTTTCTTGCTCTTCTTTTTAATACGGTCCATATCGTTGGGATATTGTCGGTGCGCCAGGGACAGGGACTAGGACCAGGACCGAGACGGAACAGGGAGGCCATAATCCCAATTTCGCTAAAGGATAGCCGATATCTCAGCAACCCTGAAACCCAGGATCCTCAAAGCATCGTCATTCACGAAAATTTTTTGCAGTTTCCGTTTTCACCGGGGGACTAGCGGGACTCATATCTATTGCGATGACCCTTTACTATGGAGAGCTCCGAATTGCCTGAACTATGATAGCCAAGTGACAGGGTTACTGAAAGAGTTGCGCATTTTCTTTCCAACGTCATCGTAATCGCATTCGCCGCCTAGGAGGATCCCTAGGCTACAAGCGATATACGACGACGTTGAGTAGGCGTGGCCACTATTTATTCCCGCTGGCGTTATCAAATCATTCAGTGCTACGCGGACCGATTTGCGGCGAGAAGCAACTGAATTAAATCATCATTTTAGCGCACAGTGGACAACTAAATGCATTGATTGGGTACCGAATCAGAAACAAAGTGCGAGCGGATTCTCGTCAGACGTTGTGGCTGTGCCATTACACAAGAGTCCAAAGTTGACTAATACTGGAAGTGTGTGTGAGTGTGTGCATAGAGAGACATACTGCGCATACACCCCTGCTCTTGGCTAGCTCAACACACACCCAGACTGGATGTACTGTACGTACCGGACTACGCGCATACCCAAATCCTGCCAAGGTACCTTTACTTTTAGGCTAGGATTAGGCTTGGTAGGGGGTCCCCCTTGTCAATTCTTTTTGACAACCCTTGCTAGCCCCCCCGACAAGTAAAAAAAAAAAAAAAAAATTTGGCCTGGCCGTTGGTTGCTCCAAATATTTCTCTTATTATTAAACGAGACCACTCGCCTCGCCCAACCACCTCCGACGGTTCACCTCTTCTACCAAGTTTGGCTTTTGCCATATCTATTGACTCATCTTGCAATCGCATCCACATTATTTGTATTTGATATTCGTTTCCCCCAAACGAATTTTCCAATCTGGACTTTTAAGAACAGTCCAGTTTCTTCCAGCGCCTTCATCATCTGAAGTCGACCACTCATCGACTTTGATGCCCAATCCTCCTGGGGGATATAAACACCAGATCTTGACATGTTCTCTCAAAGAAGACGGTTTTCCTCTCCTCTTCCCACCGACCACATACCAAGGTGACAGGTGTCACTTCCTCCAGCGTCACGACACAGGCGCCATTTAATTCAGAAAAAAAATACATCGAAACTAAAAACCACAAACCACGACGACGTTTATCATCGAGTCGCATTGGGGGCGACCACATTTAAAAGAAGTTGAACCAGAAATATTTCGCGACCACGGCGACAAGCATCGTGAAAGACTCCGGCAAGATGAGTTACGGGTCGCCTTACGGGACCCCTCTTCGAGGAGGTGATTATTACTACGACGTACAGAGTCCCTCACCAACACCTTCTCCACGTCACTACCCATTTTACCCAGCTCAGACCCCCCAGCGACCGGCTACTCGAGCTCATGTTCGCAATGCTAGCACCGGCGTCCCCGACTTCCGACCGTCGACCGCCTTCTCGCCCCGGTACACGAGCACCGGCGAGTATGCCACCGGCCTAAACCCGAATGTGAGTTCGCGAAAGCACAGTTTCTCAATGGGGTCGCATCACATGCCTAGGCGCGAGCGTCGGAGCTCCTTCTCATACAATCGGGCCTCTCATGGGGACTCCGACGAGGACGAGTTTTTCGAGATTGATGGGGTCAGATGCGTGTTGATTGCGGAGTCCAAGAGTCGCAAGCGCAGAGAGTCGTTCTATGCTGCTCCGGGACATGGCACTGATCACTACTACCGTTCGCAGGGCATGCCGTCGTCGTTCTACGAGAAAGAAAGAGCCGATTATCCCCACTTCGATGAGCCTCCAGCACGCTCCGCTACGAGGGTCGGCAACCACACCCGTCGTCCTTCCGCCACCGCTGTACCTATCCAGCGCCCCGCTACTACACGTCCTTCTAGTTCCCACAAGAAAAAGGCTGCCGCCTCGGGACAGAAGAAAGCCACCGAGGCAGATGCCCGGAAGCACCGGATCCCTCCTGGATACTCATTAAAGAACTGGGACCCCGCCGAGGAGCCCATCATGTTGCTAGGTAGTGTCTTCGATTCAAACTCTTTAGGAAAGTGGATCTATGATTGGACTGTCCACCACCACGGAGCCTCCACTCCCATTGCCGATGTAGCCGGCGAATTATGGGTTCTTCTTATTCAACTCTCTGGCAAGATAAAGCGTGCCGAGGAAGTTGTGCCCGAGGTTAGAACCCAAGCAAACAAGGAGATGATTGAAGATTTTATTGAGTCTGGTGAACGCTTGACGGACAAGCTTCGTATCTTACTTAAGAAGTGCGAGGCCCCCATGTTGAGATCCTCCAAGGCTAAGGAAGCATCCCACCTTGGACAAAATGCCGGCGTGGAGTTCGTCAGGACCATCTTTGGCCGTGAGAGAGAGCTTGAACGCACGGAAGCTTTTATGCAACAAGTTCGCCTTTGGAACTTGCGGTTCGATGCAAACTGTGAAGACATATTGAAGAGGCCCAAACAATAGATACCCGGACCCTTCATTTGTTTTTTTCCCCCAAAGTTTACTACTACCACTACCACTACCACTACTACTACTACTACCATCCGTTGGACCCAATATTTTCCGAGGATGGACCATAACATTACTAAAACCAATTGAAAAAGGACGAAGGATGGCTATGCCATCGTGTACAAGTAGAAACTGATTTCCTGTTTGGGTCGTATTCCCGGAGTGGCACGTCGATACCAGGATTTCCCCGTTCAGGATTTCTTTCATCTGTCATATTACACAAGCCGCAGGGCACACTACGCATGCATCGAGGGAAGAAGGGCCTGGATTTTCCTGTCTCGTCTTTCGTTTTTCCAAGATACCCCGGACGAAGAGAGGAGAATGCGTGTCTATATTGCACACACGCTCACCGCGCAAGCAGTTGACGAGGACACGAGCGATATACCCTTTTGGGACATTATTCGGGAACTCAAAAGTTGGTCTTTGGAGAAGGAATTGTTTTATTTTGCGCCACGGCATTACGGAAGCCGTTGATGGGGTATTACATGAGGTTGGCTATGATCCAACCGTAGAAAAGAGTTTTAATGGTTATTGTTTTATTGATATCAGCGATGGATTCGTTACTCCAGCCGAGTTATGTTTTTTGCTTCACCAGATAAGCAGCCTGCGCGAATATGAGCGGGCGTTTGGTCGAACAAGGTGGCATTTTGCTTTATTGTTTTTCCGCAGAGATACGGTTATAGAGGATCTCTGCGTGTTCTATTAAAGATCGGGATATGGTTGTACTGGCTGGCTGGGAGATACCCCCTTTTTCTTCTCATTGTTTAGGTAGCTTGAATCTCAGGAAGACAAAAAGACCACTATTTTTATTATTCTCCTACATTTGCTGTCTTTTATTTACGAAAGTGATCTCATCTCGAGTGTGATATGATAGTCCTTTGTGCTTGAATAGCAGTCAAGCTCCCAATAGATTTAGTTTACCTTACACATGGTGTTGTACTTATGCATGTTCTTGTCCCGCGGTCCTTATGTTTGCATGTAATATGCATATGCTTGCTGCCGAAATCACCTGTGTGAGGGATATGCGGTCTTAGATCAGGACCCGTTTGCTAACGTCGTTGCAGCGTAGAGTTCTATCGGTGGATTATTCCGCCTGACTCAAAGGGACATGGATTTGGATGATTAATCGTATATTTTATTAATTGCGTATTTTCTTCTATTATCTTCCCTCAGCGAATTAATCACGCAGCATATCAATCAGTCTTGTCGCCAAGCTAATCATGTTTTCAATGTTTCTCTTCTGTTTTGTCTATCTGATACATTTAGAAAATTTGTGCGTGTGTGTGTGTGTGTGTGTCTACTTCCTGCAGCCATAACATGTTTTCTAGCTTGGGTACAGTACTGTACCTTGGGTAGATTGATGCAGTATAAAAAGAAAAAGAAAAAAAAAAAGGTTGAAGGATGGATACCATGCAATGTCAGCCTCCGTTCCTAAGGCGCAATGTAATGATAACTTATTAATATGTACACAAGTAAAATCCTTCGAAATATTTTCTATTTACTCTCTAACAATTTTTCCTTTTTTTTTCTTTTTTTTTCTTTCCCATGTTCTTCGTTTAATTTTGGTGTGTGCCGACGGGGTCTGTTTGGCCGAGATTGGCCTTCATGCCTAAGCCACTCAACCACGCGGCGGTCTTGGAACACGAACACGAGAATGTTGAGGAAGTTTTATTATGTGTATACGATTATGTCTGCTTAGGTACTTGGCATAGTTAACAACAAGGTTGAGGATATGTTTGATCTCTCCCTAGATTCCCGTATCTAATTCTAGCTATTATGATGATGATGATGATAATTGTTGTTGTTATTATTATTCATGACATGAGGCCGAGTGCCATGTTAGGGTTCCATCGCTAGGGTTACAGGACACGGTCCATCACTAATCCTCTGCCGCATTGGCTTCTTCTAGGGGCTCTTACAGGCTCCTTTAGCGATTGATCACCCCATGTCTTGTTCTGATATCCAAGTCCGTCCGTGTTCCATGGTCCAAGCTGCAGCAGTCTGCATGTCAACTTCTTTTTTTTTCTTCCTGGTTACAGTACATACATACAGGATTAGACTTCCTACTCCCCTCCGTACGTATAGTATACCGAAGGCTGGCATCATCACGGCCATCGAACCGGCGGGCCACCATATGTCTTATTCGTCAGTTAATTTACCCCTCTTTCCGGTCTGTCGACGAGTTATGAATCGAATGAGCGAGTCTACCACTCATCATTCGAGTCACAAAGTGAATTGGTTGTTCCAACTTGTCCTTCCGTCATAGTATTGTTGTTAGGCACCTACGGATTTGAATAGGGCGCCCAACGGATCCGCTCATATGCGCACCGCTGCTCTCCCTGGTAGATACTTGCACCCTGTAGACCCCTTTTGGATTGTGGAAGTGAAAGTGTAGGGGTCATTGTATCGTAAGTGTACGGCACAGCGACTGGCGACGACATGGGGAGGGAGGAGCTTGGAGCGCCTTAGGATTCCGCCGCTGCGATGTTACAGTACATGAATCCACTGCCACGCGAAGAGCGACAAGGAAAGTTCTCCTTCGTCTCTTGTAACCTTAATGACAGTTTCTACTAGACATTTATGAAATACACCTTCTCAGGCTGGCTTACCTTAGGTATATACATACTGAGACAATTCGTTCCAATTACCTATATCATCCTCCTGCAAGTGATCGTGTAATCGTAATCGTGGCTAGTGAGTTGATGGATGGGGGGTGTGTATTAAACAGCGAAGTATATATACACTTACACGTACTTCGTACATATACACATACCTCCCTCATATGAGTGAGACTCGATGCTTATTTACGTTGGTTGTGTTCCAAGCCAAAATCATATCAACATATCCCTGGCATGGAAGAATTGGATCATGTATCAATATTTTTCATTGATCAAAAGTAGGGATAGAATGATAACAGAACCGAAGTTGAGTACCTTGCATACCATATGGACTTTTTCGGACCTATCGGAGGTGGCGGCCGACTATACGGAGCGGATGGACCACATGTACTTGTTGAAAGGGATACTTTGCTGAAGGAATGCAGGTTGGTCCTCGTCGAAGTCAAAGTTATTAGGTACTCCTTTCTTACAGGCGACCCGAATAAGTAACACAGAAAACCACCAACCTCCCTTATTCCTTGTCAAGCCATCCGCGTCTGTCGCGGCAGTTGGTCGTTTAGGAATCTCGGCGACTATTTACGTGCTGATGTGATCAGATCAAATTTTCGTCCATTCACCCGTCCATCCATCTCATCTTGTGTTCCATTTTGGGGTTCTGCCCACGAGCTGGGGCACGTTATATGGCCAATCACAAGCCAGAGTCTTTATCCATGTAGGTGCTGAGGCTTTATTAGCCCTCATTTCCCCCGGTAGATAAGGGGCCAAAGTCCCAAGTAGGATGGTATAATAGGTAAATTAGGTCGGTCTGTCATGTAAGCAATGGCAAGGCGCTGGTCTTTTTGCGCAGCAGCCGTGCATACATAAAGTCGCATTGGCCCACGACCGAAATAGTATCATTGAATACTACCTCCAACAGTAGCTGGTCGATATGACACAGTTGTCTTATTTCGCTACACTATTCGAATTGAAGGGAAAGGAGTATATTCTTACCCACCTACTTTCTACTTCGTACCACACACCAGACGAATTAAGTCTCGCGCCATCAAGAAGAAGGGGGATGAAGGGCACGGGAAATAGGCTCAACGTGGGAAATGGATACCATCTCCCTTTCTTACATTCGGAAAAACTTACTATGTACAATACATACGTTTCTCGTAAGGCTTAGTACGCAGCGAGCATATGCGCGGCCCCGTTACTCTGTCTAACAGATCGACCGGCTCCCCTCTTCCAATGTCGGACGATTAACAGCCAAGCAAACACATTGATAGCGGCATTTCGTATCTTTGCATTAATTACCTAGTTCCCGTCTATAATTCGTAATAGTGGCCTTCTAGCCAGGAACGTCGTATACATATGAATATAGATGATCAAGATCGTGTACTACACGAGACCATCAGGCAGACAGCTGGATAATATTGCCACCACCTGGAATCATTCGATAGATCAATCTATTGGCGTGAAGATATACATTAGGGACATATTGATAGTGATAACCTGCTTTTAGACACAGTGCCTTATCTAATTGACGTGTTATACATGTCTCCTTGCTGCAATTGACGTGGGCAGGCATAGAATTCTTCGACTTCTCGAAGACTTGGCTTAGGGGATACCGGCGTCTATGCAAGTCATACGTAGAGGGGCAGAGACCCCCGCCAACAAAGTAAACATCCTCATCATCATCATCTGTACGTAGGGTTATAGTCGCACTAGCACAGCCTGCACCAGGACACAACGGAAAGTAAAGCGTCTAGGTACCTAACCTAAGATTAATTTATCGACCTATACTCGTCCTACTCGCGTATCGTACCAGTCACTTGCTCCCCCCTTTTCATCTTTGTTTCTTTATCGATAGGGTAGGGAATTTAAGAACTTGCCAACCCAACCCAACCTAACCCAACCCCTCTTCTCCCCTCCAAAGACGCGTCTAGATGTGTAAATCCCATTCATTTTTAGAACCTCATACATATCGCAAAGTCCTTAAGGCACATTAGGGAGCAATACTATACGTATCGGCCCGAGGTGGAGGTATCACGAACGAGCGTCTCCCTATCCCCTGAGACTAGGTATTTGTAAGATGCTATAGATATCCAGGCTGCCTTAGAATCCTAGTTCCCTTGTACGCCCCTAAGTAATACAGCCAGGTTACCTATGCTGCATGCAGTGTAATCTCACCTAACTACCTACGTATGTGTGTCATAGCCTTACTTGATATCGCGATACTACCAACCCCTCTTCCAGCCCTCACTCTACGGGACAAGTTTAGAAAAACATACATATTGCTTCTGCCTCACCTGACCTGGACATAATGAGGCTATTACTTAGCGGCGCTGCCTAATT